TCATTCCTATTTTGTGATAACTTGATATCATATTATCATAGTTATTTCTGGATTGTTTGATATATTTCCTTAATCGTTACATCAATTATTGGATTGTGTGGTTTGTGATACCCCCGAATTTCCGGATGCGGGTTGGCCAGGCCCACGCCCGACTACCCGAGGATATCAAACAAATTAGCAATGATCGAACACAAAATATAATTAAGATAAACATGAGTAAATAAAATTCGCTGGAAAGAAACTAAATGCAAATCCTTTACTGAAAACTTCAGAATAAATCTTATAAATAAGAACTAGTCTGTTACATCCAACTCGGGAATCCATCCGTTGGACCCCTAATCAAAAGCCAATACTGGAAAGCGAACAACTAAAAAGAAATCCACTGCTAAACCATGAAGAACCCCCTACATAGTCGGTAGAATGAGTAGTCATCTCTGCTCGGCACGAACAAGCTCTAAGACCTGGAACCGTCCGTTACCTGAAAAATAATAGTGGGTCAGGCCCACGAACAAGTTCTATCCTAACTACAATCCAAACAGAGACCCAATACGCAGATACATCCTAGACGTCTCAAACATATCTATATAGTCCGTAATAGATAAATATATCCACACTACAGGACTCTCACCAACTATGCTAAGGGTCTCAACCTGAATAGAAGGTAACATGCAATACGCACCTCAGTGGGCATGACTACCTAAGCCTAACAGGGTATACCTCAACCAACATAGCTAGCTACGCATCCTACTGCATATACGCACCCTAACCGTCGACTATGAGACTCAAGCTCAAATCGCGGTACCATAATTTATATATATAAATTCCCATCCAAACCAATGTAGTGCCACTCAACTGATTCGTTGCCATGACACGACATAAAATTAGGATTTATTGTTTTAATTAAACCCCTATCCATTCTAGGTGATACATGCACCCTAACCGTCGACTTTAAGACTAATGCTCTTGTCACGGTAACATAATGATATATTTAAAATGCATTCACATTCATCCATAAGAAATTCAGTAAATCGTTCAGCTTATTCAACTGCACAGACTTAAGTATTTAGGGTGGATTCTGTTTTAATCATCCGAACCCTTATTCCAATATAGGTAGGACTTTAGCAACTGGTGCTGTCCAAACCTAGTATGACACCGTCCCATACCGGTTCATACAATCCTCCATATCCATGTAATTGACAGAACATATAATAATTCAGCAATTAAATCCACAATCATGTAACAATTACAGACTATTAATTATAGTTCAGCAATTAATATCCAAAAACAAATCCATCCATGTAATTAAACGAGACAAAGTTTAGTAACTCATTAAGTTAAAATCCAGCATCCATCCCGTTAATTGACAGAAAATATAAATATAATTCCTCAATTAATTCCAGGCCAATCATTGAATTAGATTTATAAAGCCTAAGTACTGGTTCAGCAATTTAAATCCAAATCCTAACCCAAATAATTGCAGTGTAATGCTTAATATTACAGCAATTGTAATTCAAATCTTTCATCCATGTATTGCAGAAAAGAATTTAATATCTTAACCAATAATGTCCAAACTATACATAGACCAAACTTGTTAATTAAATGGCCCTAGCATGCCACCAAAAATTAAGATTTATAATTATAATAATATTTCGTTAAATTGCTAAAGTTTACTTAAGCAATTAAGCTCATTCCATCCGTTAACCGCCTGTACTGTTATATACTTTTCTACGGTTAAATTCATGAGTACTAAGACCTTAATTTATTAAAGATAGCATGGTATAATGTTTGGAATCCATGTTCCAACTCTTTTTAATTTTTAGACACAGTTTGCACAGTTAAATCCTTTCGATCCGCTAAATCCGTAAACTGCCTGCGACTTGCCTTAGATTTTCCTACGGTTTAAAATATTAGCATATAGTTAAATTAATGCACCCTAAGGCTTAAAAACTTCATGAATTAATTTTTAAAAACCTTTCCCTAACTCAACACAGTTCAGAAAGTCTAATTTGAACTCAAACAGTGCCAAAAATATCAAACAGTGCCTTAAAACTAACCACAGAACGTAAAAGAAAAGTGGAGCCGGCTCTAGACAAGTTGAGCAGGCTCCAAAACACTTTCGAACTGGCTCCTATACTCTTGGAGCCGGCTCAATGAAGGGGGAGCCGGCTCCCAACTTCCTGGAGCCGGCTCTCACCTCATTTGAGAGCTCCGTTCCCCTTTTTGCTCCGGCACCGACCCTCTGCTTCATCTCTGGCATATTTCTACCATTCAGTTGATTTATAAAACTGATTCTAAGGGTTCTAGGAGTATCCAGTAACATCTTAAACATTAGTTACACTAGTGGGCATCATTGAAAAATCTTAGAACACTTACCAAATAGAATATGCTTAAAGACTAACACTGAAACTCAATAAGCACAAACTGAAACAGATTAAATTGCAACACATAATTAAATAGGATAAAACTGACCCCATGAGTTTTATATAACCCCAGTAGCACTCCCCTATTTTATATGCAATGGTTGCAAACAAATACAGAGATTAAACGTGCTACCGATTTAACATGCGTACAGATTTAATAGTGAAACCAAACTTAAAAATAAAATGATTTCAGTTTAATTTCAACCCCTATAGATAATTAATTTATCATATACTAAGCATGCATAATTCGTTTAATATCCTAGAGAACAGCTATGAATGCACAGAACACAAGCCAAAGGGAGAGAGACAGAATAGAACTTGCCTCTGTAACTTTAGTTTGCCGTCCTCTGTCCAGACTTTCCGGTGACCTCTTGACTATCATCCACTCCATTGTTGCCCTAGGTTCAACCCATGAGTAGCATCCCTTCCTCCTCTCCTTGGTTCAGCCTTAATTCTTGGCCAAAACCCTCGTCTCCTCCTCTGTTTTCCTCACCATCTCTCTCTGTTCCCTCTCTGTTCTCTCTCCATTATATTGTACGTGTATAAGGTTTCCACCCTTTGAAGACCATAGCAGTATATATATATATATAAGCCCCAAGAAACCCTAAACCCAAATCCTAATCCACGATGGAAAACTTAATTCTAGTCGGCGTGAGATGTACCAAACTCAAACCCTAATTAACATTACAATTAAATACAAAATTTAAATTTAAATCAAATGGAAACAAAAAAAATAAAACAATTAAGCACCTAGCCACATAAATACCAAAAATAATTAAAATAAATAATGAAAACAATAAAATAAATATTAAAATTTCAATTATAACCCTTACAAAATCAGGGGTATTACAGTTTAATGCACCGGTATGGGACGATGGCATTCTAGGGACGGATTAACTTATCAGTTAAGTCCTACCTATTTTATATAAGGGAATGGATTAACTAAAATGTTAAGTCCTACTTATATTCAAGTCAGGTCAGCTGAACAAGTTGAATGACTTATGGAGGATTAATTTATACTGGATAAGATGGTTATTAGATTATATATATATAAGTATGGTGCCATGATTTGAGCTTGAGTCTCAGGATCAGTGGTTAGGGCGCGTATATCGCCAGGGATGTGTAGCTAGATATAGTGTAGTTGTGTACCCTGGTAGATCTAGGTACTCATACTAACTATATGTGCGTTTTGCATGTTGCCTACTATTTAGGTTGAGACAACCCTATAGTCTAGTGAGGTTCCTTTTGTGTGTATATATATATATACGGACTACTAGTTACTATTGGATTGACTAGGATGTATACGTATATCGGATCTCTGTTTGGACTGTAGTAAAGTAGAACTTGTTTGTGGGCCTGACCCACCATTATTTTTCAAGTGTTCGTCAGGAATAGATGTTGTTCATGCTGAGCGGGGATCAGTCTACTTCATTCTTCCGATGCTATATAGGAGTTCCTTTATGATTTAGTTTCCTGATTTAGACAGTTATTGCTGTCATTTGTTTAGTTTGGATTTTCTAGGGGTCCACACAGTATGGATTCCCGAGTTGTATTTTAGAGGATCAGTTGTATCAGAAGAGTTTATTAATTTATGGAAATATATTCTGAGGTTTATTATTAGATTATCATTTTAGTTTCTTGTCAACATTTCATTTATTCTTCTTTATTCTTTTGTACTCTGTGTTCGTTTATTATCAATTTATTTTGATATCCTCGGATATTCGGGCGTGGGCCTGGCCAACCCGCATTCGGAAATCCGAGGGTATCACAAAACCCTAGTCCATGTATAATTAGAGACAGAACCCTAATTGCATCCTAGTTGGCACAACGTGAATTTAAAAGAAAATAAACTCTAACTTAAAACAGTAAAAGGAACCCAATAATTAAACTAAAATAGTTAATTCAAATAAATAAACAAATAAGACATTTAATTCAATTAAAACACCCAATTAAACCAATTAAGCAAATAATTAAATTAAATAGCATTTAATCCATTAATTAAAATAATAGTTAAATACCAAATAAAAATAAACCATTCAAAACGCAATAAAATACATATTAAAAATGCCGAGGCAATCCTTTTAAAATTAGGGGTATTACAGGAATGAAACCTCCTTCTTATCATGAGGTGAGAGTTCCCCTCCTTAAGAAAGAGCTGGAGTATAAAGACAATTTAATGCGGGATCATAGAGAGGAATGGGCAAAATACGGATACACAATTATGGCAGATGGATGGGAGGATAAAAGACACGGGTGTTTGATTAATTTTCTGGTGAATTGTCCTAAAGAGACAATGTTTATTCAATCTGTTGATGCTTCCTCTTATTCAAAGACCGGTGAAAAAATGTTTGACTTGCTTAATAAGTTCGTGCAGCAAATTGAAGCATCAAATATGATTCAAGTAGTCACTGATGGTACCTATTCTAATGTCGTGGCAGGTATAAATTTAAGTATGTATTAGGTTTCTTGTTTCTAACCTTCTATTAATCCATATTTTCTTACTTTACAATAGGGAGAATGTTAGAGGGAAGGCACTGACATTTGTATTGGTCACCTTGTGCTGCACATTGTGTGGACCTGATGTTGGAGGACATTGCTAAGATCCCAAATATAATGAGGAACATAAAGAGAGCTATAATGTTAATTGGTTATGTTTATAACTGTTCGGGTTTGTTGAACATGATGAGGCGTTATATTAGACATAAAGAGTTGCTTAGACCTGCAACGACTCGATTTGCCATTTCATTTATCATGTTATCAAGCATCCATCATCAAAAGGATTGCTTGAGGAAGATGTTCACTTCACAAGAATGGATCTCCAGTAAATGGGCGAAAGAGATAGAAGGGAAAAATGTAGCGCAGATTGTGTTGATGCCTACATTTTGGACAAGCATTGTGTACTCTCTCAAAGTAGCAAGCCCTCCTGTTCGTGTACTTAAGTTGGTTGATGGTGACAAAAGACCTCCAATGGGATATATTTATGAGGCTATGGAAAGGGCTAAAGAAGTGATAGCTAAAGCTTTTGGTTGGAATGAGGAGAAGTATAAAGATATCTTTAAGATTATTGATACTAAGTGGAATATCCAACTCCATCGCCCTTTGCATGCAGCTGGGCATTTCATGAACCCAGAATATTTTTATAGCAATCCAAATATTGAGCAAGATGAAGAGGTGATGGGTGGTTTATATCAATGCATAGAAAGATTGGTTCCAACCACTAAAGTGCAAGATAAAATTTCTTAGTTGAGTAGATATATGAAAGTTGATGGTCTATTTGGCTCATCAATTGCTGTTAGACAAAGAAAGTCAAGGGCACCAGGTAAACAAGTCAATTAATCATTTTTTTAGTATATTTTAATTTTAATTTTGTTAATTTTTTACTAATAATATGTAAATAATAGCCGATTGGTGGTCCGCATATGGTTTCACAACTCCTAATTTGCAAAAGATAGCTATTAAAGTTCTTAGCCTCACATGTAGCGCATCTGGGTGTGAACGAAATTGGAGTGTATTTGAACATGTAAGTTTGTAGTATTAGTAATTCAATGATAAAAAATTAGATTATAAAAAATTATACACTTATACTTATTAATTATTTGAATTAATGCAGCTTCATAGCAAGAAGAGGAATCGGCTAACTCAATGTCGATTGAACGATTTGGTTTTCATCAAGTATTATAGAGCACTAAAACGACGATATGACATGCGTGATAAGATCGATATCATCCTTTTAAATGATATAGATGATAGTAATGAGTAGTTGGATAGAGTAATGGATGAAGATGTAGATGCCGAAAATGAGTTGGTGTTTGAAGATGACTCTTTGACATGGGGTGCAGTTACTAGAGCTACCGGGGCTGGAGAGTCTAGCCATAATTTAAAATCAAGATCAGCTCCAAGGACAACAAAGAGGACAACACCTTCATGCTCGTCTTCACTACGAATTATAGATGATGATGAGGCAAACTCTGAGGAGACAGAAGAGGAAGAAGATGCTGAGGGTTACAAATCTTTTGATGGGGACGATGATGAGACTATGTTGTTTGGTGAAGAAAATGATATTTAGGTCCCTTAAGATTGTTTGGTAACTTTGGTTTTAGGAGTCCTTGTCAAAACTCAAAACTGAAACTAATATTTTGTTGCTTGGTTAATAGATTTGGTAGGCTACTAAGTATTGACTATGATACTTTATAGATTTGGTATGCTACTAAGTATATTTTAATGGATCTGTTTTGGAGTCAAATGATAGCTTTTGCTTAAGACATCAAGTATAAATTTATAATATATGGTTAATTGGTTTATATTTTGCTTTTTTTGAATTTTTCTTATGAATAAATAGCTTTATTAGTTTAATTATTCTATTTTACTGGTTGCATTATTTGTTTAATTGTGATATATTTAGACTAATTTAGTGTTTTTATTATTGGATGTTCATTGTCTAATTGTGTTAGTTTTGCTAAGAATTATTGTTTTAAAATTTTACCTGTGCACCTCGCGCCTAGGCTCCAAAGGACCTCTAGCGCCTTGGTGCGCCTTGGGCTTTTAATAACTATGATGCATACTAAAGAGTGTTTGCTTGATGGGTTGTAGCCTTCTTGCAAAGGAAAATGAAAGTGCTCTTGATGAGTTATTCACTTTAGATAACATGTTGTCTATGAGTGTTTGGCAATCATTAGCTGTAACTCTAGAAGAGATAAGTAGTATGCTAAGGTATCTTACTGGAAGAAAGCCCCAAGAGAACTAAAAAATGTTTGAACTTGCCATCATTTCTGTGACGGCCCAAGTTTTTCAACCTGGTGCGTCAATAATGAACCGAAAGTTAATTCAATAACAGATCCGAAATACGGTAGCAAAAGATAAAACCAAAATCTATAGAGATATAAATCATCCCCAAGACACCAACGCGACCTTCCATAAAGTCACGAAACTCAAAGGAAACGAAAGCGGAAACAAAGGTCAAAACGGACAAAATCTATTAATTAAGGGGCAAAATGGTCAATTCACAAATAAAAAGAGAGAAACTTGGCTCTAAACAAGTCAAACAAGGTGAATACAATCTAATCTAGTCATTTCACAACATTCCAAGAGGTTCCAAGAACATTGGCCAATAATCCCACAAAAATGTCTTTTCCCGGTTAAAGTGAAAATCAACACTACCTCACTAAAACATGAATAACTCCTACTGTGATTTTAATCTGAGAATTATATTGGTACCATTGGAAAGCTTACTCAAAATACATGAATTTAGGCTCAAGAATCACCCCATTTGGATTAGATATGAAAGAGATATGACCGTTTGAAGTCGGAATAATAGTGCTGAAATAAAACTGAAGAAACAGCTGAATGAGGGCTGTTTCGGTTGACCGAACTGGAGTTTCGGACGACCGAACTGGGCAAAAACTAACCTGAAAACATATTTTTGAAGGGAGGTTGTTTTGGTAGACCGAAATAAGCCATCGGTCGACCGAACTGGGCATAAACGGTGAAAATGGCTACTGGAATGAGTGTTTTACTGTGCAATGAAGTTCCCAAAAGCTATCGGTCGACCGAACCAACATTTCGAATGACCAAAATGGCTTGAAAAGCTGTTGGAAGACCTGTTATATGCCAAAAACATTAAGGCTTAACCCAAGCCTCAAATCCCCTCATGAATTGGTTCAAAAACAAAGGTTAAAAGTTGATTTTCAAGGAGTTATGAGTATGCGAACATGTCAACAAACCTTATATGAATATTTGAATGTAAATCAATGGCTCATGGCCTCATACATATCAATTATAGGATTTTTATATACCAAACCTCCAAAGTTGGAAAAGTTACATTTCAAGGGAAAAACTTGGAATCTAAATGCATACACTTAAACTTTAAAGTTTGTGGCCTTTGGCCTCATATCATACATATCAAATAGGTCCCAAATGATGTGTCAAAGTACACTATACATATAATAAGGCAAAAAGAGCATATTAAACCTAACTAAGTGTTACAACATCAAAAGTAAAACTTAAACATGCTAACACTTGCATGTGAACAAGAACACTTTATAAGAAACTTCAAATCTCCAAACCACCCAAGACAAGTGTAAATCTCTGAATCTTGAATCATGTACCTGAAAAATGTCCCCACTACGTGGGTGAGTAACATAAAGCTACTCGTAAGAAATGAGCATGCATCGACCTAACATTTTACAATTTTATCACCTTAAGGTGAAACATGTTAAAAGGCTCATGCCACCTAACGTCTATGTCAAGGGTAAGACTCAGGGAGCATCCTAAGCTATCCTAGATCATTTCTAGCATAATCACATCATCCATGTAATTCAAACCACATAGAAGCATACTATACAAAGCAACAAGTTATAGATTTTCAAAGCTATCAACTTGAAATCTAAAGTGCGAAAACAACTAAAGTGGGTCATGCCACCTAACGTCTATGTTCTAAATGAATCTATAGGATCATTACTAAGTCACATTTGAACAATATAGTATAGATGTACTTAACAATATCAAAACCTGCAATGATTCATTAGAAATCATAAAACATGAATGTACTTAACAACATTAAAGGCATGCTATGATTCATTCAAAATCATAATGCATAAATATATTTAACAACATTAAATCGCCAATAACCAAAACCACAAGTCATAATTAAACATTAGTTGTCAATTTGGAATTGAATGCGAAATCAAATAGTGGAAGACTTGGATATCACGTCTCGGACTAAACCAAGATCAAAATGGTTATTCCAGGCATTAATCCGCTGATAAGACCACCCTAGTGCGCATTATCTCAAATGGGGAGAACTCATACCTCCCGCACTAGAGCCAAATTCTAGCCATATCACAGTAACAATGTCCCAAGTGACTCCAAAATCAACAAATAAGTTCAAAACTTATACATACTTAATTAATGCACGAAACCACCTTCCATGCACAAGTAAGTTGAAGCCACACAATCTATGCCTTAGAGTTTCAATTCTAAAATGGCATATATAATGTCAAGTCTTTACTATGATACAATGCACAAAACAATATTATCTACTTAACAACTTAAATCATTTTTTCCATGGCTAATTTTAAACATTAATTCTACAACATTGTAGCAAGAAGTTTACAAGGCTAATAATACCAATAATCCACAATAATCTCAAATTACTACTGCATAGTAAAAAGATAGCAATTTAACTTCCAATAGTGCACAATAAGCAATCTATATTCATAATGCTATGAAATCACAAGTAAACAATATATTCATATTAGAAGCATGCCCTCGTGAACACAAATTTAACAACAATATTCTTCAATACTTAAAACATAATCAAGTGAATACGCAACAAGTCCAAATCCATGGTTGTAACATAAACAACTTCTAAAACAAGATTAAGTTCATGGAACAATCAGATAGAATTTAATTAAATAAAAATGATTAAATTCTCTAGATTTCAAATAATTTCTAAATAGCCTAAATTTAACATAAGTTAAGGGACGTAGCATGGTTATCAACAATATCAAGTTAAAAATCCAATTAAGTGACTACCACAATTAAAATGAAATTAATTAAACTAATTAATTAATTTCCTTTAGTTTTTAAATCAATTCCAAATATTCTCAAATTTACATATGTTAAAGAACATACTAAGACCTAATTTAATATCACATTAAAAGTCAATTTCATACTAGTTACAGTCATGTGAATTAAACTTTCATCAAAGAAAAATATTAAATAAAAGTCTCAATACTCATTCAAATGTCCTCAATTTAATATATGATAATAAACATATCATGACCTAATTTAATAGCATGCCATAATTTGATTCCATGTTATAGACAATCATATAAATTAAATCTTATACAAAGAAATAATTAAATTAAATTTCTAGATTATGAACAAAGCATGCATACAAGTTGTATAAGTATCAATAGCATGTAAGACAATAAAAAATTGAAACTATAACACCCCCTACCTCCATTTGAGATGAAATCTCAAATCCCCACCAAAATGAAACAGCTCCGAATCCGACGAAACTTCTAGGTTTTATAGGGGACAACATGGTGAACAATAATCCCAAGGGAGCCCCATCAAAACCATTACTTGACCTCAAACCCGAACTCAAGAAATGGCCAAAAACGGATTCTAATAAGGGGGAAAGATGCGCGTAGTCAAGACAAATATAAAACGTGAAGGCACTACGACTTTTTACTGAAGGGAAGTGGCCGGAAAAGAAGAGAGAAGGGTGGCAGCCCCTTGGCTGCCATGGCTGCTGGCCAAGAGAGGGGAAAAAGATAAAGAAAATATGATTTTTCTTATTTCACCCCCTATTTATAGAAAAACCCTAAAAGTGCCCTAAAAGGGCCTCGCCAGGTTCGGAGAAGTGGAATTTGAGCAGAAGCGTTCAAACGGCAAAACTCCATGAACAAAAAAGAACTGAAATGAGAAAATATGAATAACGGAAGAAACGGCGTCAAAAACTGAGTCCCGAACAGAAAGATATGTCCCAAACAAGTTTGGCGGCAACCGAGGTCAGAAATCCTGAAACTGGAGAAAAACAACCAAAGGAAATTCCAAGAGTACACGACTCGACGAAAAGTGAAAATGAATCCCGTACGAGAATCCAGGCTCAAAACAAGGCATATATCAATAACTTTTATTAATTGCATAATGGCCCTTCCAAAAAGTAAAAATTGCACAATTGGCCCAGAATGAAAATATCTTCCCAAAATATTTTCTTACAAACCCCTGAAATAAAATATCTTTAAAAGATATTTACGAAAAATATCCCAAGAAAAGGAAATGTTTCTAAGGAACTACACATCCATGCCTCTATGGACACCGGGAGCAACCAGAGTACTTTTCTGCAAAAATAAAGATACGTATTTCGTGGAAACCACTTAGAATGAAGATATGCGAAATCAAAAACCAATTCCGAACACAAAAAGTGAGGTTATGCCAACAAAGTGACAAACGGGGAAAATATAAAATAGGGAAATGACGAAAAGTGAATAGTGTCCGAAAAATAAAAATGTGAAAATGACGCGGTTCTCAAAAGAAGTTGTCAATTCAAGAAAAAGAGTTTCGGAAATTATTTCGGAGCACTTAAGACGACACTAAGTGACGAGAAACTGAACTTATAAAGGAAAAGATCAACGAAAAAAAAAAAAAAATCCGTGAAAGAGAAAAGGAAAGGAAGGAAAATGACCGGGTCATTACAATTTCACCATCAGAAATACCACTAAAAAAAATTTGGCTTTTGTTTAGGTTAGGGTTACGACCATCTTTGAGAACTCTTCCAGAAGTGGTATTCACAAGACAGAGTATGAGTATATCATCATCAAATAAAAGATTCAAGATGGGAGATATAAATTACTCCTATATTTTTATTTTTTTATTTTTTATTTTTTTTTTCATAGTTGATACTTACACACACATGCCTCTATGGAGGCTTGAACCCTTGACCTCCCTTTGGAAAGTAAGAGCCTGATACCACTAGGTCACTAGCCCTTTGGTATTACTCCTATAAAATAATCCATTATATTTATACTATATTATTAAAGATACAAAGAGTTTTGTAGTATTTTTTTTTTTTTTTTAATTTCATAGCAATTTAAGTTTCATTTATAATGCCTATTTAATAGTAAATTTATCTTTATTTTTCTTTCTAAATTTACCTTTATTTTTCTTCTAATTCTATTCTCTTTCTACCTCTTCCTTAATTTACCTTTTTCTAATTTTATTTATTTTCAAATCTTTTATTTTTTTTACATATTTGTAAATTACAATACTCTTCATTAAAACTTCTTTCTTCTTTTTTTTTTTTCTTTTTTTTTTTTTTTTCCTTTTTGTTGAATAAATCTTAGGGGGAAAAACAGGAATACTTAAAATTCCGTTTTATTTTTTTTAATAAAAAAATCAGTTTCTATATAAAACACTACTATTTATTAAAAGTTTCTTTCTTTTTTTAATATACTCGAAGATCAAATACTACTCCTATATATACTCAACTATATAAAACAAATTTAGAATTCTATATAAAATATTACTTTTATTAAATCTGTATAAAACACCATTCTTCATTAAATCATATTTCTTTCCCCCCCCCCCCCCCCCCCCATCTTTTTGAATTCCGTTTTCACTAATGACTGGACATTTTTCCTAATTCCATTTTTTTTTTATTTTACCAATTTTCTAATTCTATTATTTTTCTAACTCTTCCTTAATTTATCTTTTTAAAATTTTATTTCTTTTTAACTCTTTTATTTTTTTATTTATAATGTATTTTTAATAACTCTTTTACTCTCTTTTTTTAACTCTTTTTAATTTTTTTTATTTATAATGTATTTTTAATAGGAAGGTGTTGAATAATTCTTATTTGGCAAACAATGATTAATTTTTTGGATTAAAAGATATTGACGGCTTAAACAAATATCTCAATAAAATGTGTAAGATGAATATAGCAATATATAGCAAAGCAAGCACAATTTAATATGAGACAAGGGAAGAGTGATTGCAAATTATGACATCTCATGGGCTCAAGAATCATCTTTAGACTTTCCCAAATTTACTATGACTTATCCTTTCGGATGGAGAGCAAACCCTTTATAATGAAGCAAATTCTTTCTTACTAAGAGAAAAGTATTTTCTTAGGCTTTCCTTGGGTCACACCAACCTTTTGGGTCAAGTTAACCCTTAGAAAAAGTTTATAGAAAGAATATGTAAACAAGTGTATCCAGGGGCTTAAATTCAGGGGGCACAGTGTAAAAAAAAAAAAAAAAAAAATTCAAATAATCACTACAATAAATATAGATTATATAAATCAAGAGACAAAAGAGAAAAATTACTCAAAATAATATATTAATCAATGAGTAATTTAAGAAAGATAAATAGTTAACAAAAAATTTATAAAGGAAAGAAAAATGAGAGAATTTTGAAAAGAAAGAAAAATGAGAGAATTTTGAATGGGAAAAAATTTAGAGTTTTATTCAAAATGGAAATTTTGACTTTTTTTTAATGAAAATTGAAAAAATTTAAAGAGTAAAAAAGAGAAGAAATACAAAATTAAGAGATAATTTTAGAAAATAAAATTTTTAGAGGGGGGCATTATATGAATTTTTTCATATATATATGTAAAAATTTATAACGGGCAAGAGGCACGTGCCCCCCTAGGCATACATTGGCTCGTCTCCTGAGGTGGATTAAAAGGAGTTTGGCAGATTCAACTTGGGTCTCATCTACTAATTTAATTTCTAAACAATTTTTACCTTGTAAAAAAAAAACATTACTAATTCTAAACATTTTCTTGTTAATTAATAACAAAAAAACTAGAATTCTTCATTTATGTTCAAAAGTGAATTGTCCTTTGGCTCAAAAATAAAGAAAGACTAGTTTCATTCAGAAGGAAGCTAATGAGAAACATAAAAGAACAAGAAGCATGAACCAAATGAAAATGACGGTCGTCAAAATGAACAATTGAACTCTTTGAATTGGTCTTCCATGTAACTTCTTCCCAATCTTGAATGAAGCATAAGCATCAATTGCTGCATACTCCATCGTCTTCCCACTACCAAATGGAAAAAAGGGGTCATATACAGCACCAATTGGCTTCTCATTCAGCTTGAGATTGATGACTTCATAAGCCAATTCTGATACACTACCTGCTCTAAGCCTAGGTCTCCTCAAAACATTAGCTGCATGCTTACTAATATCAACCACATTTCTGAATACAATTCCATAATCATGTTCTAGCTTAGCAAGGTCTTTGGCAATATGAATTCCAACAAAAGTTATTTCCTTTTGAGCAAGAAATTTCTTCAAATTTGCATTAGAAAGAAACCTCGAGTGTACAACAAAACAAGTAACATCGGTGCACAACAACAAATGCAACAATTCTGGCGTCAAAAATCCTTTTACATCTCCCTTTGGCCTCCATTGAAGGTCAAATCCAACCATTTTTTGACTTCCCTCTGCAATTAGACAATCCCAAAGCAGACCGAGGCAACTTTCAAGCTCGTCTTCACTAGATATACGTGACATTTCCATAATATTTCCATCACCAATTTCAATCTTGGTCATTTTCTAGTATCACTTGTTGCAAATTAAACAATAACAGACCTGAAATGATCAATAAGAAACCAAAATGTGAATATACAAAAATGAGTATTTCAATCTTAACAAGGGGTAGAGCGAGGATCTTGAGGTTGGAGGGGTCAAAATTATAAGTATATATATTTTACTATTTTTATATTCATACAAAAATATATCTAACTAAACTTTTGCCAATTTATTTAAATAAAAAAATTAGTTATTTAAAGAAACTTTTTATCAAACTTTTTGAACAAACACAAATAAGATTTATGCCAAAGTTGTAAAATTTTTTAATTAAATAATTCGATTTTAATTTATAAAAAATAAGAAATTTATGTAATACTTGCACAAATTGATTATCATTACACAATATATCAATAAAAAAACAAACAACAATAAATCAATTTTGACTAACTTAAATTAAAGAATATTGGCAAGTAAAAAAAAAAAAAAAAGTGATAAATAAACATTGTTACCTTTTTAGAAACTTATTTGAGATTCAAAACAATACTACACTACAGTATTAATATTAAAAAATGCATATATTGGATCTGGAAAAAATGCTATGTGTTCTTATAAACTAAAGATTAATACAACAATATACCAAGTAAAAATGCTATGTATTGGATTGCAATGTGCATAAAAATCATCTACATAGATGAGAAAGAAGTGATTCCTTAGGTCAAATCAATATACGTGTGCAATGAAATAAGGGATATGTGTGCAATGAAATAAGGGATTTTTTTTTTTTCGGAAGGAATTGTAAGGATATAATCTTTTTTTTTGTGTATGAAACTTGTCTCTCTACATTCTCTTTCTCTGAAGAAAAAGGGCAAACAAATTCAAGTGGGAAACAAGACAAAACGAAAAGGTCAAAAGTGTGGATAAAAAGCATTAAATGGTAATGTGAAAATAGGTAATTTAAAACCAAAATAAAACAAAAACTCTCCAAAAATAAATTAACAAAAATAACTCCCTTTATTTACCGAAAAGAAAAAAAAAATAATAAATAAAAATAACTTGAAAAAAAAAAAGTAACAATTGAAAATTTAACAAAACAATAAACTGTGATAAAAATAATCAAAACTTCAAATGAAAATTTTGTTCTAGATTTTGTAAAAATTAATTTCTTATAGAATTCTTACAAAAGCATTTCAATAAAAATAAATAAAAAGAAAAAAAAAAAAAAAAAAAGGTGATGGAAAGAATCATGTATGAGATGAAATTTTATGATAAGAAGGTTATGGAAAGAATTGTGTTTGAATTGGAAGGATTGTAAAATAATTAGTTACGTTATGGAAAAAACTGTGTTTGAATTAAAATTTTAAGATAGATACATTAAATTTTGATGTGAGTCAGTTTTTATCGAGATTCTATAGTCATCAATTAAATCACTTTCCCTTAGATTATATATAAATTATCTTTTGTTAAATGCTAATTTTTTTAGATTAAATGCTAATCAAAGAAAGAAGTTTTTTCTTTTTTTCTCAATGGGGCCAAGTATAGATTTTATACCATACATGCTATACTATTTTTATTTTTACCTAAACTAAAAAAAATTAAAAAAATTAGGGGAGCCATGGCCACCCCTAGCCCCCCACCTAGGGCTACAACTCAGGCGGGTCTAACCCGAAATAATTCGAGCCCAACTCAAAATTTTGTAGGCTTGGACAATGTTTTTCTAATTTCGGTTTGAACTTGGGTTATATATTTTGAACCTGAATTCAATTCGGGTTGGGTTTGGGTTGATATGGATGAAGTCCGAAGCCCAACCTATACCTGAAAAAAATTATATATATTTATAATTATATTTAAGTCACAGAAGTGTGGTACCTAAGTTGGTAGTGTACTTGAGATTTATACTTAATGTTTTAGGTTCAAATTTTGGTTGCAGCATTAATTGATTTTATTTTTATACACAAATTATGTATGGGCTAGGCTTGGGCTGAAGATTTTTTATATAGTCAAATGAGTGCCAAGCCTGCCCAACTTGCTCGAGTTGCAGCCCTACCCCCACCCCTGCTCACAATGCTAAAGTAGATATGAAATCAAGTTGAAGCTCAAGCCTATTGAGCTCAAAGCCTATTGAATGATATGGGAGAGAAATCAAATGTTGTATTGAATACTCAAATGAATGCTCTAATAAAATGCCTCTAAAGTGTTGCAATTCTTCTTCATAAAATGCACCTCCAATTTATAGAGAAAATATGCTAAAAATGGCCATTAAAGGTAGGTGGAGAAGCATTAAATGCAAAATTAGCCATTGCATTTCAGACTACTTTTAGACGGCTGAAATGGTTAATTCAGTCGACCAAACCAATGAAATCAGGCGGCTGAGAGTTCCCAAATTCAAATATACATAAGAGGTGTCTTAGGCCTTGTACTCCATTTAGGTCTAGTATGAATGAATTATTGAGGTTCATGACCTATTTCTAGATGGTTTAAGGGTCAAAATAATTTATGAATATAATATATATATATATATATATGTGATTCTATAGAAATGAACTTTAAAAAGAATTCGTATGTACTTTGACATGAATTCTAAGCACTTACCAACTTATCGTCCCATTTCATGAAGCATTGACATTGATCATTGAACTTTAGGGATTCTTCCTTAAAACTTTGAGTTGCATTTTGGCCTTTGAGGTCAAGTCAACTTGAAAGCTTCTTGTATTGACTTTTGAGTCGTTTACTTGTTTATAGACGTCTTCATTTGTGTTTGTGTTTGGATGCTTGGAATGTGACTTTGATCTCCATAACTTCATTTATGGGTTAATCTTAAAAATTGACAAATCTAGCAAACACTCATGTAAAGATTGGTGATTATTAATGGTTTGTAATCATTAAAATTACTATATTGCCTTTAAGTTGAAACATTTGAGTCAACATAAATTACACAAATCTTTATTAAGTAAGCCCCTTTTTTTTCTTTTTATTCTTGTGAATAAATCTTAGTAAAAAAAAAAAAAAGGAATTGTTAAAATTCTATTTTTTTAAAAAAAATTCCATTTACCCTCCAAAATTCTATATAAAACACTACTCCTTATTTATTAAGGAAAATGATACTTCCACTTAAGAGATAAATCGATTTCTGTCCAATATTTCTATTTTATTTATTATTTTTTTTTTTTCTCTCTCATTCTCTCTCTTCAGTTTTTCGCTAGTCATCTCATCCATCTTCCTCACACAACCTGATTGATATCTTCAAGTAATTGCAGAGAGATATTTGATTAATTGTTAATGATGATATCTACTTATAAAATTTTAATAAAATCAAATTGTATTACCGAAAATGAATGTTAATTGAGTTCAAAGTGGCTGTTGAGACTCTTTGTATAATTTTTTATAATAAAATCATCTTAATAAAATTAAATTGTATTGGATAGAATGGATGTTAATGGTGTCCTGAATGTTAATAAAATCATCTCTTTATATTACCTTTAACTTTTTGGTATTGTCTCTTATTTTACTATCAGTTAAACCTATCAAATCCATAAGTTTTTACACGGACAAAATAGAGATCAGAAATATTTATGGAGAAAAAATTGGAGATAATTAAAGAAGCAATAAATTCCTAATAGAAGACGAATGGTTAGTGCAGAAATATTTATAGAAAAGAAAATGGATGTAATTAAAGAAGGAATTAAATTTGTAATAGAAGACTAACAGCTATATAATGAACCCTAAAAAAATACACTGGCTTCGCCCGCTCATGCTAACAATCAATTTCATGCCAAACTAAGAACTTTCTCAAGGTTCATGATTTATGTCATAATATAGGTTCTTAATAGTTCTCCAGGAAGTAAATTTTTTTATTTAAACCCACTTAAAATAGTATATTACTCATCTATATAATATCGGCAAGAAAATCATAGAAATTACTTGCCATCAAATTCAACACACATATATAATGGAGTAAAAGTAGTTACTTTCAGGTCAAAAAGGGCAGTTTTCTCCCAAACTGACCAAGAAGTTATTGAAACATTCGTCTATCTTCATGCTAAAAGACTAAGAAACTAATCAATCTTAGTAGACTCGAAAGGAATTTATTTTTAAAAAAAATAAAAATAAAAAGAAATCCTGGCAACCCCTTTCTTTCAAAACAAATAGATCCATATTCACCCAATAGCAAGCTAAAAACTTTGGTATAATTTTTAATTATTTAAATAAAAATATCACTTTTCATACAAGAATCGATACAAAATTGCAAATCTGATAATAATAAGATTACTCCACTCGTCAAACACACACACACACACATATACTTATATAATATGCATGAAAATAAAGAAATGGAGAATGCAGTTTAGAGAGAACCTGACGATCTCTTGGGAAGTAGAGAGGAGAGAAGTAATATGTATTAAAAGAGATATGGAGAGAGAAATTTAGTGAGGAGAGAATGGCGTGTTAGATTCCAAATATGAATTAGTACTGAGATAAATAGGCCGAGGTCTTGAGAAAATCTAAAAAAGAGTGGTGAAGATGGTGAGTATAAAAGATACAATCAGCTCAGAAAATCCTCAAAACAAATTGACTGCATTGATCTCACAAGGTTCTTAGTTCTTACATTTCAGGTAGAAAAGATAACAGAAACTGAGAATACAAATAAATAAATTTCTCAAGTATATATATATATTTGTAGTTACTAATGGGTACACAAGCACAACTCATATGGCCTTTTGTTGTTCTTCCCTTTCCCATATAAAGGTGAGCTGTTTAGGGATTCCTTTGTGGTTTTACTCCGAGTTTTTGATTTTCTGTACATTGCATAGTGCTATACCGAGAAAATTTCTGAGAAAAAAAGAATGGATGGTAGCAGTTCTATACATTTTAGTTTCCTTCTGCATGCATCTCAGCTTGAAATAATGGACTCAATTTCAATGTTTTCTTCGCCAAGTTACGGATATCTTCTCTAGTTGACTCAACTGATATTCGTTCAAGTTCCTTCACCCCTCCACTGGATACGAAATCCTTGGCATTGTCCTCTGCAACAGCCATTAAGCAGTATAAAATGAGTTCATGTAAACCCTCAACTATTGTAGTTCTTTGTTTAGTTCAATTCAGAAGTGTAGACGTGCCAAAACATTGAATAGATGGTAAATCCAAAAAAGTAAGAAGTGACAATGACATTATTACCAAATTAAATATCTTACTAGTAAGATCCATTTCTAATCATTACTTCATAAATTTGTGAGATTCTTCTAAATTGATGAATCACCAATGCATATAGGAAAGAACACATATGAGCTTGAAAATGTAACATTTACAGATGCGGAAAAACTAAGGATTAGGACCTGCAATTCTACTCTAGGATATGTTCGTTAATATGTAGCACAAATAACATCAAACCAAGTATGCATGATGCAAAAATATGCAAAATGCAAGAATCCGACATGTCTTGTGCATATGTTTTTTTTTTATTTAACATGACCATGCAATCCAGAACAAACCAGGAAGGGGAAGTTAGTTTCATAATGTTAAGAGATCCTATTTTAGCCTTGTAATCTATAGAGCACCACACTGACATCTTTGTGTAGGAATTTTAAATATCCATATAACTCATCAACCTGTTCTAGAGATGGACAAAGACACTGATATCATTACAAGTTCCATCTATCATTAACAAACAATTCACTGGAACACAATGAATTCGTTCATTTTTCTATCAAGAAAGACCAATGGTCCTGAAAATGAACTGAGATGATGAATTTAAGAATAAGTTGATAAGCACTTAATCTATAAATGATGAACCAAACGCACTTCCATTGAGCATGTGTGGCCCAATTTATCATTTAAGTCAATAATTAATATTTTCCCCTTTTTTAGTGGGTAATGCTCAACAAACTTCTTCCCCTTTTTTAGTGGGTAATGCTCAACAAACTTCTTCATTAATAGTAAGAATGACTCCATTATTCCAGCAAGTAAAAGCTTACCACGGTCTCTATTTTTGACTAACATTATTTTCCTTAAGTAATTTATTATTGAAGTTATCCAAATCATTACTCCTGTAAAATTGTCTCTAAGATTCGGTACCAAATCTTCCAAATAAAAACCAAAATCCTATTACTTCATGTCAATAATTCATCATCCTTAAAAGTGAAAACTAATATGTAAGAGCTCCAGGAACTGGCTTACGGTTTTGTGCTAAATGACAAAGAGCAAGCTCAATATGGCGTCGAGTTGAGGCTGAAGCAGTACTAGGGTTTGCTATCAACCATGTAAGAATGCCATCCTCCATTAAAAGTGAACGGCCTCTCCGATGTCCTGCAGTGGTACATAGTCACATCAATGTTCAGAAAAGATAAATGATATGTAACCTTGTGCTCGACCACTAGGAGTGGAGAGATCTATTGATTAACACACCATGTGTAAGTGCATGCACACAAACCTTGAATAGTTCCTCGCGATTCACATTTTGCAAAGTTAGCTATCCCCCTAGCAACTTGCGCGATGACATCACTATTACCAAATCTAACCATTTCCAAGAGTGCCTTGATGCCTCCATCTTCTCTAAGCATCACATGTAACCTTTCTGTTACCAACAAAAGGAAAAAAAGAGAAAAAGAAAAGAAAAGAAAAGTAATAGGCATCAATATACTCCAACAATATGATTTAACCTTTCTAATGTTTATGAAACACTCCAGCAACTTCTGGCTTCCCTTATTTGGAATATAGATATTGGAAAAAGGAGTGTCTGGATAATGGTCATAATATAAGAAATAATGACAAATTTGTTTTGTATTTGATTTAAACTATGACATAAATGGAGATTAGACATCTAAAGGATCCTAATATATATTATCCAGGTAGCAAAAGACAACATAATCACCTCCAACTTACCATTTCCGCACAAATTTGCAATTGCCCCAGCTACCATTCGTAAAGTTTGGGGATCATCTGTTTTGGATGCTGTACTTGCTAATAGTCTCGCACCTCCTTTACACATTATTAGGCCTTGATTCATCTCTAATAAGATAGAAAATGATAAGAACTTCAAATGAAGTTTCAAGATGAGAGATGTAAAAGAAAAGTTCTAGATTTCATCTCATTAAAATTACACCTTTCATGTGATACAAGGCATTTTCAGTTCTGTTAAAGTTGCAGCAATGAGGCTCATACAATCTTATCTGGTATGTGGTTTAAAAACATATCTATCCAAGCTTATCATGTTGTGGTGCAATAAAAGCGCAGTTATGCCCATATCAGGAGAGAATGTGACATTCAATTGTAAAAAAATCTGAGAACCTCATATGCAGTACTCACTGCACTCTGATGATAAAGGAGCAGTTATAAAGTACTGAATTGGAAAGTGAAAATTTTGTATTAAGTCCAATAAAAAGGACTAATAATCAAAAGAAACGAACTTAAAGCGACTAATCATTTTTATTCTTTCAACTTGGGATAAGCAATTTTTATGTTTTGGAGATACATTGCAACAACTAAGAAAGTATCAACAAGAGTATATGTTTATGAAATACATTGCATAACATGACATCAGTTTTCTTTACAATATCATCAGTTGTGCAAAAGAAAGATGTTATCATGCTGCTTGCCAATAAGCATTATGTCATGCCACACCTATTTTGCAAGGAGGTTGCGCCACGTAGGCGCTGAGCAGGACTCTACATGGCATACGCGAAGAGTTGTTTTAGAGTCTTCTAGATTAGTTTGGACATTGTGGAGTACTATAGAGAATTTAAAGATTCTAGAATGTTGGGGTAGTTGTAGAGATTTGTAAAGTGTAGAAAATATTCTAGATGAGTAGGGAAATTTGTAGAGGTGTAGATATTAATGAGCAAAGTTCTGGATAGTAAGTATGATGCCTATAAATAGGCCAGTGATGTCATTTGTAACCAACAACAAGTGCTAAAAGTGAGAGCCGCTAAAAGTGAGAGCCTTGTACAACAATTCTTTGAGTAGTCGCATTATAAATCTAAGAGAAGGTGAAAATTTAGGAATACCATTCATTGCCAAATTGGCAATAGCTCCGGAGGCCACCCTAAGCACAGTTGTACTCTGGGATGATTGTAATAGCATGAGCAGCGCATCTAGACCCCCTTCTTCCACAATCTTTTCTTGATTAATCTCTGAGAGGGAAAAAGAAAAAACTTGCATAAATATGCATCATCATAACCTTTTATGAGTCAATAATAAGAACTCATTACCAGTTTATCACAACAACAATAACAATAAAGGCAATAAAAGAGTTAAAATAGAGTTTGGTTTATTTTTAAATTATGAAAGATAAATTTGCAAAACTTGTGGAATTATATTGTTCAAAATTTTATTTTCAATTGAAAATATTTAATTAATTTTAACGTTTCAGAATTTCCCTGATTTTTGTTTCTTTTAGATAAAAATGTTATAGTATTTGATCAAGATTTTAAAATAAATTTCAATTTCACCAAAGTAGAAGTGCTCACTGACCAAATTCTAAACCATCATTGACCATGTCTGGTGACCTCTTGTAAAATCTTTGGTAAATTTAATTTTTCGCTTTCATCGGTGCTTACCCCCCCCCCCCCCCCCCCCCCCCCCCGGTGCCTGAAAAAAAAAAAAAAAAAACTAAGAACTAGACCCTATGATACTAAGACCAGAAAGACCCCATGATACCCAACACACAAAACCTTTCATAAAACTCAACTGTATTGTTAGATAATAAAATTTGGCAACAGATGTTATATATAATGAAATTGCTCTATTAACTTAGTGGCCATAAGGTTTTCTCCTTGTTTACTGCAGAAATGGAAGAGAGACCAATTATTACATATTGATTTCTGAAGCCATTTGTTCTGTAGCATTTTTATGTATGTAGATAGGCATTCTCCAAAATCATAAAATGAACTTATGAAAAAATTGGGAAAAATAACAGCCAATTTTGTAAGTAATTATGAAGTAGGAAAAACAAGAGTATATGCTTTTTTTAAATAAAAAAAAAAGCAAAAGAATTTTTTGAAAAGGCGAAGCAAAAGAATTTATGGTCAAAAGTTGTGCAAAACTGCAAAGTTGGGAACAACCCATACACACATAGAGAAGTGCCATGAGCATGCAAGTGTTGCACATTCAAATAAAACTCAAAAGCAGTCATCTTTCTGTACCTTCAGCAGCAAGATTGGCTACCACCTTCACAGCTTGGGTTTGGACATCTAAATCCTCAGATGCTAATAGTGCTAATATCTTTTGAAGCCCAACTGGATGCATGAAGCAAAAGATCATGTGAGTTATATTAAGAAGACATTTAATTGATTTTATACCAGATACTTGGGTCACTCTTTTATAGCAACTTTAATATTGCCTTTTCACCCACTAACACTTACATCTTACTCCATAACGCCTAACTATTGCATACCATAAATATAATGTAAAAATAAATTCTTGCCTTCTTCACATAATTTTGCAATAGTGGCCTTCTGAACATAATTTTTCTCCCTTGAGTGGTTTGATTGATGTAAACCCACTGGGGTTCCAGATGCTGAACCTTTATCTATATTTTCTTTCATATATGATTTCTTGTCCTGAGGAAAATCACAAGGTATAAATTCATAGAACATGGTGACATTTAAGGTGAATAAAGGAAAACGTGGAACCACATACCTCAAAGTGATCATCACTTTCAGGCTCAAGCTTCTTCAATTTAAGGAGCTCATTTTCAATTGATTTCCTCTGTTTCTCCTCAACTAGAAGGGTTTGCCTCACAGAAAGAAGTTCCTCATTCAATTTTGCCTTTTAGGGAGAGAAAAAAAATAGCATCACTAAATTACAACATTTTTCAACTTTAGCAGAAAACTCAAGCTATAGAGGGGAGGGGCTAAATGGGAATACTATTTGTACCCAAAATTCAATTTCTAAAATGGAAAATTTTCAAGCACACCTATCAAATTTCATATGATACCTTCTCTGATAACAGACCCTTATATTCTGATTTCAAAGATAGATGTTCATTCTCAGTCATTTCGCACAGCTTATGCATTTCTTGTAGTTTCAACTTAAGCTCATCAATCTCTTTTTGGCCTTGAATCTAAAAATTCAGGAAAGAAAAGAGAAGAATAAAAAATTTAATTATGGTAATTAAAAAATGAATTTAGAATATGAAAAATCATTAAAGATGCAGCAGGGACAATGTCATGAATTTCAATGTTAACAAAGATAAGGTAGAGAAGGTGAAACACACACATATTTGAGAAGATGAGACACACACACACATTTATATATCAATGTCTATGAAGTACTGACACAGTTGGAGCTTGAGTCTGCCATATTTGAGTGTCCTTGTGAAGTATTAGCATGTATCATATGGCAAGGAACTGAGGTTGGGCCCTGGCACAATGGTAAGGCTGTTCCATTGTGACATGGAGACAGGTTTGAAATGGGAAACAACCTCTCCATATGTGGAGTTAAGGCTGCATACATCTGACCCTCCCAAGACCCTACAGTGCCGGGAGCCTTGTGCATTGGGTAGCCCTTTTATATGGCAAAGAACTGTCAAAAGGTGAAGAGCAAATAGAATGCAGAAAAGTATGTTCTCCCTCCAAAAACCTTGACAAAGATGACAGTTTAATAGGTCCGACTGTAACAACTATTTTGATCTGACAATGTTTTGCCTTCCCAACTGCATTGCCAGGGCCTCCTTCTCATGACGTGTCTGGTGACCACTTACATTGATGATGGCTATCATATGTGCCATGCAACTGGAAGTTGCTGGAAAGGGACAACAGAACATAAATACTGTTCAAGCTCTTCCTCATAACTTAACATATTCATAAATATGACTGTGACATACTTCATGCATTCAGTAAAGAGGCATTTTATAAGGATCCGCTGAGTTTATTATTACTAGACAGATGCATGCTCTATGCGTGTGCTCTGTACCTCAAGTGCTCCTTATACTGAGGCATTTGATAAGGATCTGATGAGTTTATTATTACTAGACGGATGCATGCTCTATGTGTGTTCTCTGTACCTTAAGTGCTCCTTATTTCTTCAATTAGATTAGTTACTCTCCCACTAGATAAAAATATGGTATCTAGTGGGAATGGTTGATAATTAGGCAGAACTAGAATTGTGTGAATTTATATTTTCAGCTATGAAATACGAAATGGGCATTTAGGGATTAAAAGAAGAAATACCATACAGGATAACTGTTAGAGATTCTTGTCCCACGTCGGATTCGGATAGGGAAAGTCATGGGCTTATATGGGTGGGTATGCAACACTACCCAATAACTTAAGCTTTTGGACTAGAGGGCAAAGGCCCTGCTTGTAACAACTGGTATAAGAGCTGACCCAGTCCTTGATCCGGTGTCACGCCAAGACCCCACCCGAGAGTTGTCTGAGTCTCTACCTAGTAGGCAAGGTGATCCGACCGCAACGAGGGCATTGCGAGTTCGGGCGGGGAAAAATCCTAGAGGTTTTTGTCCCATAGTAGATCCGGAAGGGGAAGGTCATGGGCTTATATAGGTGGATATGCAGCACTACCTAACAATTTAAGCTTTTGGGTCAAAGGGCAAGTGCCTGACCATAACAATAGGCTTTTATTAATACTATAGACTATTATTATAGTGGAAGCAAAAATAAGAAAGAACCCTAAGGGGTTGGCCTAGTTAGAAAAGACTTGGGCCCTGGTGCCTTATGAAGCATCAGGTCTCAAGATCGATTCCTGCTAGGAACAAACAATTCCTTGGAGCAGGGGGGGGGGGGGGGGGGGGGGGGAAATAAAAAATAAAAAATAAAGAAAGATAGAGCATGGAGGCAACCTAAATGGAAACATAGAATAATCCTTTTATCTTAAAAAGTTAAATATAGTAGGTGATTTGGCATGTAATGGAAAATGTTGGAGAGAGAATTCATGTGGTTTACCCCATTCATATGGGATTAAAACAAGGATGATGATGATGACATAAAATTAACCTGGTTTGAGTTTTGATGATCATTTAGGAGCTTCTTTATGGTATCAAGTTGTTCTTCAACATCTTTAAAATGGACATGCTGATCCTCTTGTTGCTGAACTAACTCTGCTATTTTCTTCTCATACATCTGAGTGGTGTCTGCAAGAGCATTCTGATACGTAGAATTTTCCATCTGATATTGCTACTAAGGAAAAAAAAGACAGCATCAAATTGTATATTTTAATTATCAAGATAGGGCCAACAAAATTAATTTCTGAGGGGGGGGGGGTGGCATAAAGCTTTTACAAAATCGAAAACCCCACCTTTGATGAATTAGGAGAATTGATGATTGAAATGGAGATATAACAAAATGTAGAGGAAATATTTCATCTCTTTTAAAGAATTAACATATAAATGCTAACCTGCATTGATTTTTTATGATCATTCAATAATTTCTTCATCGTATCCACTTGGTTTTCAGCACTTTCAGAGCGAGTATGATGATCTTCTAATTGCTTCATCAACTCTGCTATTTTCTTTTCATACATTTGAGTGGTATCTGCAAGTACTTTCTGATATGCAGAACTTTCAAGCTGGTGTTGCTACTAACAGTCAAAACAACAACATCAGTATTTGTGCCCATGCAGACCAAAAAATCCATAGTAAGCAAAGAAGAAGGTCTTCTAAAGTTGAAGAGCAAAATCTTAGAATCAGTGAACAAAAACAAAAAGTCAAGAAAATGCAGACGGTACGGAAATTTGTAGATAGATAAGGTATTAATGACTATAGATGCAAATGAATATTAATTAACTTTTATTGTTGAAATTGATCCATAAAGTAAGGGAGAGTAAGTTTATAAGAAAGCATTTTAAACACTTGACTACCAGAGTCTACTCTCTCAGAAAGGATTTTAAACACTTGACTACCAGAGTGTACTCTCTCAGAAAGGATTTTAAACACTTGACTAGCAGAGTCTCCTCTCTCTCTTTTTTCTTTTTTCTGTTTGTCAAGTACCAGCAGACTCGAGCTAGGACCATTTCACAGTTTATCAGAAGATCACTCACACCTATATTATGATAATAAAACATAACAAGAAAAAGGGAGTTTTTGTTAGTTCTTTAATGATAATATCAGATATTGAGGTTTTACTTCAATTATTATATATAATTACAAAAGTGAATTTTTTCTTAGAGTTCACTAATATTCAGATAGTTTCCATCTATAATTACCAGAAGTACATCCAGCATATGATAGTCACAGTTATTGAGAATATTTGATCCTCAATATATAACAGAATACCTTACAGTGGGTTGACACACATATGCTAACTATTCCTTAAAATTCACTAATTCATAGATATTTTCCATCCATAATTTCCACAAGCACATACACAGTGTTCTTGGCTCAGCCATTTAAAGTATAATGCCCTCGATGTATTACAGTATGTGAAGGCAGCAATTTGCTATCCGCCTACTGATTGCAAATTCCTTTGACAAATTGGAATGTCAAGGATTTTTGGAGGTTGTCTTTCAATGTGCAGAAAGAAATCATAAAAAGTAAAGTTCCATAAAACTCACAAGATTTTGAGGTATAAATTATAGATGAACTTAGTTTTCTTGTAGTTTCAAGAGTATATTTGGAATTGTAATTTAAGTTGAAGGACTAAATATTTTTAACAAACGATCAGATGCACATAAATATTTACTAGGGGAAATAATGTTTAATAAAAGGGACTTCTGTTCCTTATTGGAAATTGTTATCATTTTTGAAAGTTATGGCCATGTATAAGCCTCATCTTTTAAAGATAAACCTGAAAGAGAGGAAATAAGGAACGATCAGATGTTCTTAAATATATTTCTGCTTTAATGATTTAAAACAGAGTTGAAGGAAATTTGTTTCCTCCCCTTAAGTGGCACAAGCAACTTGGTACAGATTCTGTGCAGTGTGCACTAAACAATATTGGTCTTGTCTTATTTATCATATTAGGAAGAAATTCTCATTGTCTCCCTTTTTATTTTCTCTTTTGCAAAACAAGGCTGTGAACATTCAATCTCAAGATCTAATTTAAATATTGAATCCTTAGCAGCAAATTGTATACGCGTAGATATTCTTTTACTGTGATCTTCAATCCACAACACTTTTTCTGCATAAAATTCATATGAGACTGTCAGACCACTGATTCGGTTACTATAGTTGGAGTGAAGTCCTTGATGCCTCTCTGCTGATACAATACAGGTTCAAAATCATATGCCAAAACCAAGTTAACTTCTGGGGGCACTAAGATAATGGGAAGGTGCAATATAACGAGCAAAAAGACATCCCAACAGAAAACCACCAGGCCTTGATCTTTACAAGTTAAGAGAGGTCATGAGAAAAGTTAAACACTATGTAGTATCAGTTAAATTAGAAGAGAATAAGAAGACAGATAAACAAGCAAAATATTTATATATTAAAAGGTAATAGGCAGACAAAAGCTCTGTCTCAAATACCTTACTGTGTTTTAAACTCATTTTTAGGTGTGCAACCTCATCATTCATTAAATCATTATGATCTTTCTGACGATCCAATTCGTTCAATATATCTTTCATCTCAGTTTCCAAACGAGTATTCTCCTTCTCCCAAAACTGCAATCAAGTGAAGGATGTCCAAAGAAAATAAACATACCGTAAATAAAATACATGGGTGAACTGAATGTATGGCTACAGCAACAAAAATGAGGAATACCAAAAACTACAGATAGAATGGATAAGCTGGATGATGAAGAAAAGTGGACTTATGCAGTATCACTATATTATCACTTAAAATTGCAAAACAAATTCCAGCAGGAGAGACAACTACCTCAGACCTTGCAGTGAAATTCTTTTCTGCTTCAACTAAGGAATTTTGACATTCTCTAAGCCTTCTTTCCATTTCACTTTTGTCATTTTCCCTCAGCTTTTGTTGTCTATCAATCTCTGTAGTGAGATGGTCCACCTGGTTTTCAAGCTTCCGGCATAAACTTTCGTAATCAAATTCTTCCTTAAGCTTCATCATGTTCACAACTTTCATGGCCTGCAAGAGCAACAAAATATTAAGCTTCCTTGATCAATACAACTTATTTTATGCAATATTACGTCCAGGAAAAAATGAAGTTCTAAAACTGACATGTTAACATCTTTATAATTTAATCATCCATGTCATGTAATTTGAAGTCCAAAACCAGCCTAACCACTATCACTAGAATTCATATACATACTAGCCAAAACAAAGGTTGACATGGGAATCGATTACTAAATATAACCCACAATGTATTTAGAAAAGGGAAAAACACAGAGCTATAATTCGTCAAAATGTGAATGCAAAGAACCACAAAATGACTTGGATAGGCTTACTCTCATTTATAAAATAGCTTCCCTACTTGCGTTTACAGGTCACAAGCTCCACAAGTTCTAAAGTGCTGCAGATCAAGGCTATTTATGTTGGACAAACTACCATTCAAATCCAAGTTATTTTATTGACGAATCTATTTCCATGCATGATTTGCAATCCTTGGGTAGGTTTTTCTGACTGCAAAACTTCATATAAGATAAACCCAGTAAAGACTACTCTCTCAAATTCACAGAAATGGTGATACATAATTAATCTACTTCAATCAATGCATGCATAGTTTCCTCTACAAGGAGAACTAAACGACAAAGAGAAGCACTCTATTCCTGTATTCAGTGACACTAGACATTAAGAATATAAGCAGACGATATAGTGAATTAGATTGAGAAGCCAAACAGATAGAAACTATCAGTGTCAAGCTTTGATCTCAAACAGATAAGAATGTCAAATATTAAGTAATAAGTATCACACAAATTGAAAGCTCAAAACCATGAGTATGTCAAACAAATGGGAACCGAGAGCCAATATTTGAATAATGAACTCCTCCAACTCACCCGTTGTCCAAACATTATGGTGCTTGTGGTTTCTCCATGATGTCTAGAAGATGGCCCAACTGTTATTATAAGCGAGGTCCTCGCTGAGCCTGTTTAATTAAAATAAAAAAATGGATTTTATAGACCAACGGAAACAGGATGTGGACAGTTTCATTGTAGAATAAACGAACTTCAAGAAGAAATCTCTAGTAATCAAACAAATAAAAGAAAAGGACATTTCAACATTGTTTCATGAAAACAAAAAACAAAAAGAGAAAGGTTGAGAGGGATTCAAAACAGAAATTCTGAACTTTGTATAACTGTGTGAAAAAAAAAAAACTTTGTAGGACTGTAAGGTTCAGTGCAGCCGGCCTCTTTTCAATTTCATTTGGTTACCAACAAAGATGTTTCTTATCCAAAAAAAACTAACAAAGTTGTTCTTCCCATTCTATGGTTTTATTGACTGAAATCCTAGGGATGGATATTTCTTGGTTTATAGATTATATACTGAAAACCAATATACTCATCCTTTTATATTTAATTTCAGCCCCTCCAAAGTTCTAACAGAAGAAACTTCTTAAAAATTTTGAATGTTCCAATTTGTACTTTTAGACAACACATGGTAAATAACTGCAACTTCAAACTTTCAGCTATTACACTTAATCTATAATCTTTGATTCATAAGCCAAATAAGTCTCAATTTATGACAAACAATTATGTTACAGACAAACCAGACATTTTTCAGTACAATTACACTCTAAAAAAATTGTAAATTTTGATCAGTAGGAATGGAACTAATACCATGCTCCAGAAATGCCGAAGCTTAACACACATGTTGTTGGTATAATCACCATATCTAACAACTTAAAATGTAATGCCTGCTATCCTACAAAGGTAATGTACTTTATTAGATAAACCATTCAAGCAAAGCAGATGAAAGAGAGAATATTGAGGATAACCTCCAAATGAATCACGGAGCAGTCTCGTTAGTTTAGAATCTCTAGTAGGTATGTGAGGACTGTTTTCGGCCAATGCATTTATACATTTTCCAAGGGAAGTAAGAGAAAGATTGATAAATTTTGCTTCTTCGACCAAATGACCTTCACTGCCTGCAACATACATAAATAAGATATAAATTTTTGTTAGATAATAAATTGTAAATTATTCACTGCTATGTCTTCCAGAAAATTAGACACTTGACAATGAACATTGCCACGTTACCCACTTACAAAAACTAGATCAGTTATAAATCATTGCAATTTTAAAATTTTAAGATGCAATTGTCCTCTACGAAGGGGTAGATCCAAGAAAAGAAAGAAATAGACAAAACAAAACAATGGCAGATCTGCAGGCTCAAAGTTTAATATAAACAACAAACCAGATTTATCTAGTCTCTCAGATCCCGCAAGATCCACTATCAGTAGCTTGCTTTTTCGAACAGTAGGTATGCCATGACCACCTGGAAAATCACTTCTGATGTCTTTTTCTTGGTAAGATATATCATTTTCGTCTTTCTCATGGACAGATCTCCTAACAGAAACCTAGAGAAAAGGGGGGGAAATGGATAAAGAAAGTAATGAATTTTCGTGAAAAATCAGAAAATATGATGAATGTACTCTATATAAACTTAAAAGATTTAACATAAATCAAGAAACCAGATTAACATGCAACCCACCATAAGTATTGCATGACTACGAGAAGATTCTGTATTCAGCTTTGTATTTGCCGCATGGCGGTTTGTCTCACCAGTTTGCAGTAGTTGTAGAAAGTGATCAAGATTTCGAATTTTAACTACTGTGGCACCAGGCAATGACACTTCCCCAGTCCTAGGGTCCTCAACTATTGGGATATTAATCTTTTCTGGTGCAAGCAAATCTTGTATAGATTCCATATACAACTGGTACAGAAATAACAAAATAATGATTGATTAACGGACTTTAAACTTAGTTTCACCCATCAAGAAATAACATTAATAGGTCTCAAATCACATTAGCAATCTGGTCAAAAGTTAGCCACAAAGTTTGCATTGAGTTACTCGTGGAAATATAAATAAAAAGAAAAAGAATAGTTTGCTAGAAAATGGGTTGACAATTATAACAATCAAAGTAAGACACTATGAGAAATTAAAAAGTGCCAAAAAGTATACAGAGACAAGCTTTTGATCCAAGAAAATTACCAAGCGACCATTTGAACTGATTCTTCTAAAACTGAAGAAAAGTATTGTGTAACTATTTGGTCATTTGGCTGCTTATTATTATCTTCTTATTCTTCTTCTTTTTCTTTTCTTTCTTTTTTTTTATTTTTTATTTTTTAATTTAAATTTTAACAGCTACAACTCCATAAGCATGTTCACTTCTTTCTTTTAATGCATCAGTCTGAACATAAATTAGAATATAGCAGAAGAAACATGTCTAGTGATTTAAAGATGGAACATGGCATCAGAAAAGCATAGCCTTCATCCTTCCTCTCCCTCCCACATCATTCTTCTTCTTTGCCCCTTCATTCTATTGAACGTGTCCCCCAGAGGGTATGAATTAACAATATGTGCAAGCTTCTTGCTAAGACTGGTGAATCTCCTGAAGGAAGTGGTGGGCCATGTTCTCACTCTCATAATGCAGTTGCTAGGGTCCTCCAGATGTTGCATAGAGTGTTAGTGGAAAATGAATTTGTGTTTTCATAGTTGTGAAGTGGGATATGAGCCTCATTACATGTTGGATACCAAGAATTTATGACCATGTTTATAGGGGTTCCATGTTATGGATCATGTGGTACTCTCCTAGTTTGAAGTGCTCTTGACCATGCCTAAGTGGGGACTCATAGATTGCTAGGCAGGTTGCTCTAGTGGCAAGGTCAGTCAAGCTTGGCAGGCTATGTCTCTCAGTCTTGCATGGTGCTTCTGATGGGAGCAAAATATGCACATTTTTTAGTATGAGTTTGTTTGCCCATAGTTTGTCAAAAAATTTGTTACACTTTCCAATTATAAAATTTCAAAAGTTCAGGTGTTTTCAGTTTTTTGCTTCCTTTTTAAATTTTATTTTATTTTTTTTAATTTTTTTTTTTGGGGGTAATTTGAGTTTTACAAATGGGCCAAAGTCATTGGCTCCTATTTTATTCATGTGTACACGGGTTACGCTTCTCCTGATGCTATTGTTTATATTGCTCTTTACTCATCAAGAAACAATAAATATAAACTTCAAATTATCAAAACCCTTAGCTTAAAGTAAGGTAATTCATCTGAATCCAAAATATATAAGCAGCATAAGGCTGATATATGAGATTACCTTGGGGTAGAGGGCATCACTTTTAAAGTAAAGAGAAAATTTTGGGAACTTTTCACCTCAAAGTAATTTTTAAGAGGATATTACAAGATGTCAAAACAAAGGATGTCTATTTTAATCTAGTATACATATCCTTATCAAAAAAGAAAAAGAAAAAAGCTCAAAAATACAGAGTAAATAAACAAAATAAGCTATTAGAACAATGGGGTCTTTCTATAAGAAGTGAACTCAAATAATTAATTTGATTTGTTGCTTCATTTCATGGTCACTACCTAATGGAAGTTAGTTTTGCACACATAATTAAGAAAATGGAACTTTTGTAAAGCACAATATTTAGTTCTTCTACGACGGTTTATAAATTATTGTTTGGGCACAAAAAAAGGTCTGCTGTTTTCCAATAGCCATGGTGCGATCTCCTTAGTGGTTCCACATGGTAGTCTTGCTATATGGGTGGATGTGCTGGTGCCTTCCATGGGGGAACAATCATTTTAGGTTCATAAACATTTGGATTTATACAAATGCTATTTTACATTTCCTCATTTTTCACGAGTCTCTAAATTGTATAACATTTTTGCTGTATTAAGAATTTTTTCCCCATGGTTTTGGATGACCAACTCAAACACCAAAATATAACTTTGACCTACACTAACTGATGAAGATAAAGCACTTCAACAATAATTCAGAGTCAATAAAAATTAAAACAAATCTAAAAGCAAATCCTTATCATCAAATAATTTCAGTACCTGCAAATAGGATACTTCCACACTATCAGATGCATGAGACGTGTTGGCAATTATATCTTCTAAAGCTCTAACCATGATACCACGCTCAGATGCATCGTCTTTGCCTAGTCTTCCAACTGTGTAAGTCTTGCCAGTACCTGTTTGACCGTAAGCCATAACTGTCCCATTATATCCACTTAAGACACTCTGCAAAAGCATATCAAGATTGACAGTCTATAATTAACATACCACCCAAAACTATTCATTGAACTTCTTTTTCCCTCTGTAATAACAAAAGAATGGAGAAGAATGTTTGCTTCGAAAAGATCAATTAGGAAAATATACATATACATACATACAGGCTATACAGCTTTCCCGAACTTACTATAAAATTTCCCACCATGATTCAAAAATAAAAGACTGGATTGCTAGTCTGCGTAGAGATGACAATTTTAACGTTGACCATAACCTTACAAAGTTAAAGAAAAAAGGTTAATTAAGGGTGTTGGGAGGGCAGGCTATTGAAAGACCAAACCTTTGGCATTACTTGCACAAAAAGGCTTCCCTCAAACTAGACTTCCATTCTCACACTTCATAGCCTGAGCTTTTACCAATGTACTAAGCAATGGCCCTTGAAGTTTTGTCAGTAAAGCACTCATGTGCAAATATATGCATATTTGTGAATAAACATTTTATGACACACACACATAATTAAAACATTATTCCTTAAATCCAAAATAATGGAACCCTTGATCACTTACCTCGACTACAGGTTTCGCTACCACTTCATAAATGCGCCTTTGAGAAGCACTCTCTGTAAATACTTCATCAAATCGATAAGACTCGGAACTCCAATTATTTTTTTTCAAGTTCAACCTTTTCAGCTACACAAGGAAAGAAACACCTAAATTAATTCAAAGGTTCTGTGGCTGCTCTTTGCACAAAGTAAGAACAACGCAAGAAGAGAATTTGAATTGCACAACCGGAAATAAACATGCTTTAATTTATCATCAGTATGAGAGTGGGATTCAAAATATCTAACTGGTATATCACAATCACCTCTGGTTGTAGTTCAACAAAATCGGCAAAATCGGCATCTGAAAGAAGATCTTCAGCATTTCTTGGTCTAAGTCTGACAGCAACTCTAACTCTTTCCGCTTCTGTGGCACATATCAAATTCAAAGCCTTTACATATATTTTCTTTCATCAACTTTTACAATGTAATTACATTATGCAACATGGCAGTGCCCTAATGGTATTATTCAATAAAGCAGCAGAGGACAGTGCCATATTAATACCGTTAACTTACTAAAATTTCAAACTCTTAGATTTCATCAAATTACTGGAGTTCCCAATAATCCGAGGCTCAAACACAAGTGTTAATTCCGACATGGACACAGGTGGAAAGAACTCCCCAGCTAATATAATGTGTGTGCTTGTGAAATTACTACAACATAATTGACTTTCAGTCTGATTTTGTGATGCTACACGAAGAGTTCTAGAGTTATAGAATGATAAAAGAAATGACTGTGTCCCAAAACCAAAAGGCATAACTGTCTTCTGAAAATATTTGAAGTCGTTAAAGGGGATTATGCTGTAAAACTGTCCAAGTATTGGTACCCTATACTGGTGTAACAATTGGCCAACATGTCGAGAAAGACTTCCCTACACCGGTGATACTACATCATCCGTGCCATCAACCAATTATATCTTGTCACATACGTAAAAGTGCTTTAGTTTCATGGATCCTATCACTACGTGTCAGTATTTAATTTGTTGGTGATACCATGTAATTAATACAACAAGAGCAATAAAGTATTTCTCCACCATGTCATTTGTGAACATTGAGAAGTATTTTTGTATCAATAGGAAATTTCTAAAAAGATGAAACCAAACTTTTGCAATGTCCCTAAAGCTATGTTCCCTAGAATGGAATTGGTGTCTTGTAATTGGAGAAAAATTAGTTCAAAAAATCGGAGAAAAATTAGTTTGAACTAACTTTTCTCCAATTCTAAGGCACCAATTTCATGCTACGGAACATAGCATTAATGGATGAAAATGGTATCGTCAAATAATTTAAATTTCATAGAAATTACAAAGCTCAACTAATACAGCTGCAATTATTGACCTCTTGATAACACAGGCATGATAGCTGCGCTGAAAATTGAACAAGCAATATATATATATATATATATATATATAGCATACCAGAGAGGATATAAGGACAGGAACAATGAGCTCGTTCAATTATGACGCACATAAATATTTACCAATGTTTCCGGATATTAAATGCTACCGGTATGTTAGGACAAAAAGAAAAAAGGGTTCAATGTTGCATTTAAGTCGGTCTGGATAAAATGCAACAGTTCACACCAATTTTCTGGTTGAGATTTTATTATAAATGTCATTAGTTACATTTAAAATTAGAAAAATCAACAAATTTTGAAAAGTAATAAATTAATTTTACAAAAAACATTCGCTCAAAATTATCCAAAATAAAAAATATTAGTGTCTACGATCAAGTGTGTGTGTGAGAGAGAGAGAGATAGAGAGACCTGGGTCGTCGTGATTAGTGTGAGCTCGTGAATTCGGGGTTACGGAGCGCCTGGAAGCAGGGACTCTGGAGCGAACAGATAGCTGTCCACCGACATTTCTGGAAACAGAGGTAGGTCCATGAGGTATGTGTTGTCTCTCAGACCTCTGAGACGACCTCACTGTAGAACCAGACGCCATTGATTGCTGATTTTTCAGTGAGAGAAACTAGAAAGAGAAAGAGAGTCACCAGAGTATATATGGTTGTATATATAACGAGATCATTGTAGAACCAGAAACCATTGTTTGCTGATTTTCTAGTGAGAGAAACTAGAAAGAGAGAGAGAGTAAACCAGAATATATATATATATATATGGTTGATATATATATAGAAAGAGAGAAATGTAGAGAGAGAGAAAAAGGAAATAGGTCGTTGAGGGCGGCACGATTGGCGAACATTTCCAATGTTATTAATAAATGTGAAGCATTGCAAGGACTGATAGTTACGAGTGAGCCAGTTTATGTTCCCGCGTTTCTCTTTTTGGTTGTTCGTTTGTCGTAACTCTTTTTTGGATTTGTACAGCAAATTGATCTGCTTCTTTTGAATTTTAAATATGGGGTGGTTCTGTAAATTTAAAATTAGCAGGGAACTTAAATATGGGGTGGTTCTGTAAATTAAAAACTAGCAGTAACACCGTCACTATAATTTAAGTCCTTTACATTCATTTTTACCAAAATAATAATAATAATAAAATCCTATTAAAAAAAAAAAAATTCAATGTTCGAGTAAGAGACAATTTTGCAAGTGTGTATGCATTTGTTTAAATTTATTTATTTTTAATTGCATTTCACAACCAATTTTAGTTCACTCATTATTAAGAAATTTTGAACCATCACCATGTCCAATTAAATCTTGTTGTATTGCTCCATTCCAATCCTGCCACGGCAAGGTTCTGCTGAGCTGGATGTCCGAATTCGCGCCAGTGACCCATACTATTCAAGCATTTTATCGATCGATCAGACAACCTTTTCAGCTCTCTAGTAACAAACAAAAAGTTCTGAGACGACCCATTTGAATTCGTTACTTATCATTTGAATCTGTAACTTTTTGTTGTAAATTATCATCTCATCTCTTGGGGTACGGGAATCTCTTAGGGTGCGGCTGGGCAGGGTGGGCCCTCTTTCTTGTTCAGTTCCTTCTCTAGATTAAAAAAATCAAATCAAATCAAATCATTTTTCAGGTGGGGACCCATTGATCTACACAGATCTCATTTACAAGCAACCTCGATTTGATTAAATCAGTCATTCAATACACCTTTCCTTAAAAATTAAGTAATTGATCAATAGTCAAAACATGACAAATCTGTGCTACAAACAAGATGGCCATAAACTTTGTATCAATATACCATAGGTTAATTAAGATTTCAAAGATCAACCGACCAGCAGTATCAGGTCTTTATTTTTTTAAAAAAAAGTAAAAAATTCAAGCCTGAATAGAGGTACATAGGAGCGTTTGAGTACCAATTAAGAAAAAAAAAATTGAAAGATCTGTGACTTGGGGATAGAAGTATCCTCGTGCAATCCATCAACTCCATCCCACATGTACCAGGCAATTACCATAAAAATTCCTTAGGGTTACTAAAGTTTAAACTAAGGGTTACAAATTACAACACAACACGAGTTAGAAGGATTTGGGTTTGTTATAAATGGGTTTGAGTCATAAAAGGGTCAATACGATTAACTCATTTACTTAACCGTGTCGGGTTAGGGTTGAGGGATTCAATTCGTGTAACCCGTTTATAACCTATTTAACTCAACATGTTATAATTGTGAATATGACCTATGTAATATGCTACATGTTTAAACCCAATTATTATGGATAGTTAAATCATTTCAACATAAACTTTGTCTATGCCTTATGATTTTTTTTTTTTTTTTTTGAATGCTTGGGTTACTTGTGACAAATTTTTTTTTATTATTTAATATTTAATTAAATATTAAATGTCTCGTTTTGATAAGCAGATCATTAAACAAGGTAATACGTTTATCTATTTAATAAACAGATTAAGTTAGTGTTGAGGATTCTTGACATAATTATTAATTAGGTTGAATTTGAATTTACCTATGTAGTATAATACCCTTACATTTATACAACCCGACTCACGAACACGAATTACCACCCCTGGTTTATACTCGTGACCTCGACAATGTGAAACCAGCACCGTTGCCATTAGGCTATGCCTTAGAATTTCTTTTACACAAGTCCACGATCCCAAGTTGTGTGTCGGTTAACACCGGAAAAATCTTGTAGAAACTTTTCCCCCCAAAAAAACATAGCCGGCTGTCTTCTCATCAGATAAAACAACCATGACAACTTGCACAACAAAATGACCATATATGGACAAGAGGATGATCAGCATGCCATTTGATTTAATAGAAAATAAGAGTTAGAGATTATAGTTTTCACACCTGGTGAGACGAGAATCAAAACTAATATAATATAGACAAGCTGTTTTGTCCTTCGAAACAAGTACCACATAAATGGAGAACATGTGGGCTTCAACATGGGTTGCCGCCCCAGCACAGGTTGTAAAACATCACCATCTCCCTTTTTAGAAGACCATTTCAATATCAAAGTGATTGAAAGTGTCAAACTGTGGATAAATCTAATAGAGGGAGGCCAATAATGTTGTAAAATAATTGCCAATCTGAATAACTATTTGACCCTCACATGTCTGACCAATAAATGAATTAAAATAGAATTTTAAAATGAAAAGAAGCTGCGATAAAATCAATATAATGTGATTGTCGAGAATAAACTAACCGGAAGAACAAGGTATCCGTTGCAGGTATTGATCATCGGCAGCTTAATTGCTTTATCTACAAACATGTCTCTTGTAATCCAGCACTTTTTACATGGATCTACCAGTTCTCAGTACTACAAAAATATTCTAACCTCGGGAACAAAAAATATACAGCTTGCCTTTCTTTTCATCAGGTGTAAGCCAATCTCAATCCTCTTGCAAAAATAACAGTCCCCATCATAGATCAAGACTAGCAGGTTGGGTAACCAGTCCCTGTCGATTGAGACCCAAATTCAGTGATTATGATGTCAGCAAATTCCTGGTAACACTAACACCTTGAAGATGTGTTTAATGTGGTTGAAATCACAGGGAGAGCAAGAAAATTGTAGTCAGCCATTGATGCAGCAATTTTTTTAACTCTTCCAACCCAGTGCTTTGAGATTAGATTGTTTTAGTTCAATGTGCTTTCCAAGCCTGTAAATAGACAATACAATTAGTGAAAGTCTTGGAGAGTTAAGCGTACCAACTTCGGGAAAGAATCAATCACAAAAGAATATTATTGGCATTGCATCATTAGACACAGGAAATCTAAGAAACACGGATAGGGATATAGGATATATACAATATGACATGGCGGCACGACAAATCCTATAAGACTAAGACACAGACTCTGTGGAGACGTGGCGAATGATAATTAATTAATTTTATATATAGATATATGTATATATTATCATTTATTATAAGACTAATATTATTATTCATCAATCTATGAATCAAAAGTTCACAAATCACAATAACTACTGAGCAACCACGGTAATTCATAGAGAGAGAGAGAGAGGGCACGGGCGGGGGGGCTGGAGTAAAATTTCTAAAATCACTTGATAAAATTTGTTGTAATCAAAATTGAAAATCAAACAAAAAATTGCAGTTGTACAGAGAAAGAAAGAGAATTCTCTCCAGAGAGACAGCGTTACAGAAAGGGGGAAAAAAAGGAAGAAAGAAAGAAATAGGTTTTACTTGAGAAAAAATAGGGCCGTTTTTATTTAAAAAGGGAGACTGTAAAGGAAGAAAAGGGTTGTGGTTGGAAGAAGAAGACCACAAAAAAAAGAAAAAAAAAAAAGTAGAAGATTTGTTGAAGAAGGCGGCTTGCCAACAAACATCGTTTGATGTGCGGTTGTAGCAAGTTCGATGCTTGATTGCAAAAGATAGTGGGACTCTCTATTTCCTTTTTCCGATCTTTTAACGAAGAGGTACACACACACAGTGCTTCCATGTGTTTGAGATTACCCTTAGTGAAAGCTCGCGTAAATACACGCACAAAGTAGTAAAATTGGTTGATAAATTTAAAACAAAAAACTAATTTTTTAATGCTTTGACTTCCAAATTATTGAAAATCTTCAAAGAATTTTGCATACTTTATGGTTTAGCCCATCTTTCTTTCAAATTTTCTTTTAAAAAAACCCTTTTTAACCCAACACACATGTCTGTGGTGTGTCCATCATGTCCTTTTTTTAAAAAAAAAAAAAAAAAGAGGTATTTTTTTTGGCATGCTCAACACGGCCAGCTGTGTCCGACTTGTGTTGGTGTCCAACATGGATTCTTCAACTTTTTCGGCATGTTCGTGTTTCCTATCAGGAAATTGTATCCAAAGAAGCATATGGTTGCAGCTTAAGTTTCCTCTCTATAGTCCACCCATCAACTTAGGTTTAATCAACAAACACGAAGAAATGTGGACGCTGATGAGGACTTTAAAACATTAAGAAGCTCTACAAGACACTAACACCTCTACCCCGACCTCAAAAATAAAACCCTTGTTCATAGAGTCAAATTCCCTCCACATTGAGCTCCAACCCTGTATTCACTTGAACAATACTAAACCAACTCATCACCAGGTGAACCCAACACGGAGGTTTTCGAATCCCCCATGACTTTAACACAAGACCTCTGGGATCCTGCTCTTGAAGGGAGTGTGGTGTGGTCACCCTCCGTTACAAAAGAAATAATAATAATATTGGATTAAATGAAGGATAGAGAGTGAAAGCCAATACATTAACTGATATCCTAGAAGCCATCCCCATTACAACCGCTTCCAATGTCACTAATCAACTATCAACATGAAAACTACAAATGAATTTCTTCCAGATTCCTTACCTACCAGTGGTGGAGCCACAGAGGATCAAGTGGGGGCAACTACCCCCGTTGAACTTTCTTGTTATTTTCATTATGTACATAAAATTTTAGTTAATTATATAAATGTTCCCACTGGATTCTTATAAAATTCTCAAAAAATCCTTTTACGAAGTGAAAGTTCAAAAAGACCCATACATATTCTGTTTTGCACCTTACAATATTAAAATAAATAAATAAAAATGTATACATTAAAATCATTAAGCATTCCACCTTTCTTGAGAGAGAGAGAGTTCAGTTCTCGTCTGTGAAACCACAAAGAGAAATAGGAGAGGTGCTTTCAACAACTAGTGACGATACAATAATAGGTGTGTGAATCAGGCTAATTAATTTATATTTTGATTGTCTTTGAATCTTACTTGATTAGCCAAAAACTAATTAGAGAGATTAACTAGTATTTGGATTATAGCAAATTTGCAGTGGCAGGAGCCTCGAGTTAAACCTTTTTTTTAAAAAAATTATTTTAGGAATGCATGTCTTTTATTAAATAAAAACTTAATAATAAATAGATTAATGGACACATATATTATTTCATTTATATTTTAGAATGAAATATGTTGTTATAAATTATGTTGCTATCTTGGATTTAAGTGAACTATGTTATTTTATTAGTCATTCATTAAATGTGAATTCTTAAGTTGATTTGATTATATGAACTTAATTTTTAGACAGTGGTGAAAAATATATTGACAACAACATTTTAATTTTTATATTTATTATTATTATTTTATGATATTGTCAAAGGTTGCCCCCACCGAAGTGAATCCTGGATCCGCCACTGTTACCTTCTTTAATTCCTTCAAACCCCCATCCTCCCCACACCACACACACAAGAAAAAAAATATTCAAAACTTTTAGAACCCAACTTTCATACTTGATAATTAATGTCAGGACCTATCAGGCTTTAAAAGGCAGCGGTAACATATTGTGTGCAATCCCCCTTTATACTTTCCCAGCAATGTGAAATCTCGTTCATAAGTGTCCACCACGCTCATGAACACACATGTCCTCATGTGTGCGGCTCACTTGCAAGGCTCAAATCTACACACTTCCAGTTGGGGATTACACTCCATATGCTGAAAATATTGTTGATTGTGGTAATGGGTCTTTAAAGATGGTAATAAATCCAATACCCAACCGGAAAAGTTCAGACATGAACTGTGCAGGTGGGCCAGAGTCTTAAGCCACACATGTGAGGACACGTGTGATAGACACTTGTAGAGACGGAATTACACATTGCTTGAGATGGTTGAAGCTTGGAGAATATAAGGAGGGGTTGCACACCATATGTTAACAATGTGTTTTAAAGCCATGAGGGGGAATCCAAAGCAAACACTGGGATAGCATGTCTTTGTGCTTTCTTGGGTATGCCTGGGATTGCAAGCTTTGTCTCTTTGTGTTTTGGCCTGAGGGCTTCCTCTTTGTACTTTATTTTGTATTAATAAATTACCACATTCAGGAAGAAAAAAAGAAAAAAAAATCCAAAGCGAACAAAATTGTTGACTACGGTGGTGGAACCTGACAACTAACATGACCACTACCCCATCTGGCCAATTTAACCTGTGCACAATGTACAATAGCAACATTATCTTTCAGTTTCATCAAATGCCCTACCATTCCTCTCTCAGTAAATCCCATCACCGAATTCAATCTCCATTTTAATTATCCGTTCTAGTCATTCCAGTCACCTTCCAGTTTCCTACCTCCATTAACTCCTTATTCTTCTAATATCTTGCAAATTTTGCTGGCAGTATCTATATAAAGTATAGAGAATCTTTTGTGAGAACAGCTGAACCATCGGCCATTAGCTTGAATGGATTATGGTAACTCTTACCACTCCAGAATGGGAAGGCACTTGATTCATATCCCAAGTCCCAACAAGGACGTGGGTGTGTCAATTACTTATCAATATATATACACACGCACACACATACATATATATATATACTGTGTAATATTATCATCATTTTGTCCCTATTTCTCAGCATGTATTCTGATTTAGGACAAAGAAAAGAAGGCAAAATGAAAGGCACCCTTTAAAACATGAAATTAAACAAGTATCAATATTCCACTTACACAAGGTCCGATGGAAGCCTGAAACCACCTATACGTACACGCTTTAATGCATGAATCTGAAATGAAAAGGAACAAAAGAACCACTAATGATACGCCTGAAGCGGCAATAAACATATAACTAAAAATTACTTATAAACTTAAAATTAAGCTTCATCTTATCAAACTGCTGGCATAAATATGATATACCAAATTTTAGAACTAGATCATTAAAGCATATGCAAAATTTTACTGGTGAAATGAATATTTGGCTTTGAATCATACATATTTAACTCAAAAAGAATGAAAAGATAAAGGATCAAAGGCATGCAAAAAAAGTAATTATCTTATAGAAACTCAAGATGTACTCCTTTTTCTCATATGCTATCCCTTGTAACGCACAAATTCAAAGATGTAGTTGGGATAGGAAAAATGAACAGCTCAAAAAATCAAAACTAACCTGAAGTCCAGCACTTTTTAGAAGTTCTCGGACTTCATGATTTCTCCCTTCATGGACCTGCACCAATTCAGTTTTAGAAAAGGAAAGTTAGCTATTTCTGATCATGTAGTCCAAGTTAGTTGAGAAAGGTCATAGAGTATTTAGCTAAGAGAGTGTTTCCCTTTTCTTTTGTGTCCATATGAGGTGGTTATTATTATTTTTTGTTGGAGAGGGGGGGAGGGAATAAATTTTATGGCATTCGTCACCCTCTCAGTTACAAAAAGAACAAACTATATTGAAGATTGATTGATCTCATAGATGATAGAACAGGTAAAAAGTATAATATACACACCAACTAAAGTTCTTTCAAGACATCAAAATATCTAGTAATCAGTTGAATCAACAATTCCCATAAACTGATCACTTGTTAGCATCTCTCTAGTGTCAGAACACCACCATCATGGCTTAACCAACACTCTCTTTCTACATATGTAAAAAGGTTTTTGATGCAATAAATACTCTAGTTACTACAATGCTCAGATGATTTGCCACCTAAACATAGCATCACAAATTTTGTGTTCATATTGGACAATAATTATACCGAAGAAATATGCCAGTGAAAATAAGAAGAGATATGGAGCAGAGTGTTGGGCTTTAAAAAAGAAACAAGAATGTGGTAATGCATCGGAAATGAGAATATTAAGATGGATGGTTGGATTTACAAAAAGAGATAGGGTCACAGATGAATGTGTAAGAGAAAAATTAGGTGTGGCACCATTAACGAGAAAATAAGAGAGAGTAGACTTAGATGGTTTGGATACATACACAGACCTATAGATGCACCGGTAAGAAGAGGAAGTTTAATTTCCAAAAATAACGTGGGATGAAGTTAATTAGAAATGACTTTTAAAAGTTAAAACATAATAGGTGATATGGCGGGTAATAGAAAGGAATGGAGACAGAATTCATGTGGCCAACCCCATTCATATGGAAATAAGGCAAGGACGACGATGATGATGAAAATCGTTTGGAAATTACCAGAAAGTTTGTATTAAAAAAACTTGAAGTTTTTCAAGAATTCACAGTTATATATAAAAGAAAAAAATTTGGAAAATTTTGCATCCAAAACATTTAGAAATCCTGACAGATTTGAATTAAGTCTATATCCAAATTCATATGGAAACTGACATTTCCAATACCATGTAGTGAACAAGCATGTATTTCAGTAGATTGCAGCATTCTTACGTTCATTTGGAATTATTTCAAAGGCAGTAAAATATGTTTGGGAGCACAGAAAACATTTTGAAGGAGAACAAAACAAAAATATTAAGATCTAGTGGTTTAGTTTCATTTCATTGAAACTGAGCACAGAGGTCATTACTTGGTGCAGTAATAAAATTGGTTGGACAGAAGTGAGCTGGCCTCAGTGAGAGCCCATGTGAGTGCTATGTGGAGGAAGCTAAAATCCAAAATATTGGAAGGAAGAAAAGCATGGCTGTTGTGTAAACTCCTTGAGAATCATGTCATTTTCCTGCTCGTAAACGTGGGAACACAGGTTCAAACCTAACGCAGCTAGTTTATGAGACAGCGAAAAAAGTGAAATCTTATGTACCCATTTGCCACTCTTAACACCCATTCTCAATTAAGGGGGACCACTGTGATGCTTTTTTCCACAAATCCTGGTTCATAAGCCTCCTGCTAGCTATATGATGAACCCATGAACAGCACACATGGCACCAATGTATATTTTAAGTGTGAAAAGCAATATCAATCTAGAAAGCGAAGGTGGAGCATCATACTGCTGTTTCACTAAATTCATAAATTCTACTAAATTCGTTGCACATAATACAAATGCCTGCTGCTGGCTACGAGACCAACCCAAGTACGTTAGTACCTAACACGTGCAAAGCATATCTGAGAAAACAGAATGCAATTGGAAGGAAGCTACCAATTATGACATTACAACAGTTCTTTCTGAACACGCGTGCGCGCAGAGAGAAAGAGAGAGAGAGAGTTACCACAATGCGAAGTCGAGGTCGTGATATATCTGGTTGAGATGGTAGTAACTCCACTGCATCCGGGGTACAATGGGCTCCATCAATGACAGTTCCCTCACTAATGGCTATTAAATGACGCTTATTGACTACACCATCCACAGTTGCTATGTATCTGCAGTCACATATATTAAATTTTAAGTAAACAGGATACATATTAGTATTACAATAGCAAATGAGCGATCCAATAAATAGATGTAGACAAAAGTAAAACATCACCATTCAGAAAATGGCAGCCAGCATAAGATTTAGTTCTTACCATTGAGCAAGCAGTAGTACTTAGTTCACCACAAAAAAAAAAAAAAAAAAGAAAAAAAAAAGAAGTTATAATAATAAATAATAATTGAAAAATAAAAACCTCCAGCAAACATTTGATGCCATTTTAACAGACAAATCATTTGCTAGAAAGTCACACCAAATCTGGTTTCAGGAGGCTTTGTTAAAAAAAATAATAGTAATAAAAAATAATAATTAGAAAACGCATTATATGAAATTTTAAATTTAAACTGTTAAACATGAGAAGGAAAAAAATCATTGAACTGTGAAAAGAACAAATGAAACCCTACTCCTTTGATAAATTAGATGAGGGATGTGAAATCTTTTGAGCGAATTCCCCTGAAAAAGGTAACAAAACAGGATTTAGATGAATTTCAATTTTAGAATCCATATCAAGAACCCAAAACATCAAGTCATAGACATCCATGATATCACATTCAGCATCAAACATACCATCATTTGTCACAATAATCAACCCCGATGTGGCAACATCAAGGCGGCCAACAGTAAAGAGTCGTGGTTTTTGTTGTCCTGGATTTCTTTTATCCTGCATCAGTGCACTAATAATAGCTAATTGCAAGGCACAAAAAGGTAGTACTTATACATAGTTAGTATCGTGTTATTTTTCAAAAAAGAGTGTTGGATGTGGCAATCTACACATACCCAACTCTTCAGATAATCGTCGAATAAACTCATCACTGATTTAGTCTCTTTCGCCCCAGATGAGCAAATGTACCTGTAATAAGGTAAATGCATTAACTCCACAATACGCATAGAATTCAATATTCAAACTTGAGTAGAACCATGATGAGCCAAAGAGATGCAAACCCTTTTGGCTTGTTCAGGGCAAGATAGACTTTTGGAGGCAGTTTCTTAGGAAGGCGGTTTCCATTGACATATATTGCATCTCTCATAGGATCAACCCTAGTCTGCCCATTATCAGAAGCAATACTAATAAACTCTACCAATACAAAATCTTAAACAAACATTGGGTAAAAAAAATTGTCATATAATATAGTAATTGAAGCAGACCTGAGGAGTATTGCACACTGAATTATTAACAGTCACTTTGCCTTCAAAAATAAGCTCTTCGCAGCTCCTTCTTGATGCCACTACAATCAGAAACCACATAACTCAAAAATCAAGAGACATTACTCAAACATGTTAAAAGAAAACAAGCACATTGGGTTAAGTAAGGTATCGTTTAATTGGCATTTCACAATATATATGGGTATATATACACTTAAAGCAAAAACATAAAAATAAGAAAGTTGCACTTCTTAATCAACTTCACATTTCAAAATTTGAAACCAAATAGAACTAATAATATTTCAATCAAAATAGAAACTTCCTAGCAAATTCAGAGAATAATTGCTAAACAACCAAGCAAACTCCAATCCGTAATTGCACCAATATATATATATATAAGCTTATATTACCTCCGGCGGCAGCTAGAACTTTGCTGAGCCGCTGCGGCGGGTCCCTAAAATTCTGATTGTAAAACCTCCGCGCTGCCTTCGAATGCTTTGGCTCCGCTGTTGCGACCGGTTTATTGGAACTCTCTTTCTTTATCTTCTTCTTCGTCGACTGAGTCTTGGCATTGGCAATCTCGTGGAGGAGACGCGCCGGCGGGGTCGACTGGAGGGTGAGGTTTCCTTTGTCGTCGCGGACGATCCATGGGATGAATAGCTGGCCCGATTCTTCAGCAAGACCGGGGACGGAGGGAGATTTGGGTTTCGGGGTTTTGGGTTTGTTTGGGGCGAAGGTGATGTTGAATTCGGTGGATGAAGAGAGAGCGGAGGTGATGGTGCGGAATTGGTGGCGAGTGCGGGTGATAAAGTAGGGTTTGGAGAAGTGGAAGGAGGAGAGGGCCGTGGAGGCGGCGGTTACTGCGGCGGCGATAACCGCCATTGGTGGTGGTGGTGGTGGTGGTGGTGGTGGTTGTTTTAGAGGTTTTGGTTTTGGATATTTGAGATGGAAGAGAGCTTGGCAGTGGATGAAGTGGAGTGTTGGGTTTAGAGAATGGACCTGACCCAGTACATTTAAAGGCTGGTGTAAACACCAGAGAGACACCACACCAAACTACCCAATTCATGGGCTTCTGCGATTTATATAGTCCAATTTCTGGCCCAGTACAAAAGAAGATATACAAATTTTAATATCTATATGTTATGCCAATGATAAAGAATAAATAAATAAACATACAAACAAAATAAGACCTAATACATATTCAAACATTTCTAAGTCTACTATAACTCAGAAAATTCCGTTATTATATATGTTTCTTAATGTCATTCCGAACGTGTTTTATAAGTTAGATTCTCAACACAAACTTATTATTAAAAAAGAAGCTTAAAACAAGAAACTTCCAATTTTGGAAAAAAAAAACATAGAAAATCTCTTAATTTTAAGATTTGTTTACATAGTTTCTTTTGATTTTAAAGGTTTTCTTTAGGCTTGTAATTCTTACATGGCTCACCCTAATGTGGTAAGTTATAATCTATTGAATTTTTACATGTAAATTAAGGTGAAAATTTATAATACCTCGAGGTACCATACTCTTGAAGTTTTGAGACCGTTGAATGTGGTGGTGAGACTCACCTGATAAATGATCCAACGGCCAAGAGGTACCGAAGTATTGTAGACTTTCTCCAAATTAAGAGTTCTAAATTAAAGTAATACTATCAAAAGTGCTCGTTTATAACAATTGTTATGAGCTTTTTATATTAATGGTTCAATGTGAACGTTCATGTATTTTTAAGTTGTTTATTTCAACTTAAAAATATTTTTCTTATATATTTTTGGTAGTACAAAAAACTACGTAAAACATTTTACACTCTCCCTTAAAAAATCACCTACAATGGGACCTTCCACTCAGATGCTGTGGAAGCCGAAGGGGCAATCTACAATTTCTTTCCTTATCAATTACAAAACATTCGAATTCATTTTCTCTAAGTAACAAGACTTTTACTACATTAGACTTTTATTACAAGTGTAGTCATTAATACTTGATTATAAATACATAAATAAATAAGTACCTCACAATTGTTTCTTTAAATTATCTCAGATGGCTTTTACTTCTGGTAGTACAGCTAATTTAAGTATTATAAAAAAAAAGGCCAAGTATCCTGCTTTGCTGATGCAAAAAAAAATGCTATTGCCATTAGAACAGAGTAAAAATCAAACATTTTCCTGGTCCAAAAAATCATGAAGAATAACATAGTTCAATTGAAGGAATTACTACATCTTTTTCACCAAATCATATTTTCAACCCAAAAAAAAAAACGAAGAAGACATGCCTAAGGTACAGATCAACAGACAGGCTTTTCAAGGACACAACAACAAAATTCGGCTACAAACTTTCTCAGGATGACAAAGTTCCAAGCATATTTCTGTTTGCAACTTCCTCTCTTCGCAATGGTTATAGTAATGCAATCTCTAGCTGCTACTAGCCCAACCCAGAAGATAAAACCAAATTCCTGGCCTTCCCAGCTTCCTTGCCCTCCGAACGGACAAAGTTTCACTTCTCCATGTTCAACCTGCCATGCCAAACACCAAAGACATGTCATCTTAAAAAACTTTTATACCAAAAGACTCACTCCCACCATCTATCCCCTTGTGCAGAAAGAATCATCAACAGTGGAAACGGTAGTCCGTATTCTCGGGTACTTCATGCACACACTCAATTTTCTGGAACAACATTGCAGTGTCTGCTATAAGTTACATATTTTTCATCATATGCAGAAAGGAACCTTCTAAAAGCATTTAAGTTGAATTTATGGATTATTAACAGGATTATTAACAACCACGTCAACTCGTTGGAGGAGATCTATAACACTTCCTGCTTTTCTCTTGGCCCGATCAGTGCCATTCTCCAGAAGTTCCTTCAATGCTTCTTCTGCCCCAAGTTCCCTTGCTGTCTTCAGATACTGTACGTCCCCTGTGCATAATGACCACAATACAGCTGCGGCGTTCTCCCGGTTGCGTGGCGAACCAGTTCTTATCACCTCTATCAGAACTGGGATTGGTTCTGCTTCACCAATAGCTATTTTCCCTTCTTGATGGCTCGCAAGTATGGCCAATATTGCTAGTGCCTCGTCCACCATTCCACCCCCAGCATCTTTAAGTAATCTCATTAGTGGTGCCACAATCCCCGCCCTTACGGCCCTCACCTTGTTTCCTTGATAGATTGAAAGGTTGAAAATAGCAGTAGCTGCATCCTTCTTTCCTCTAGGAGTACCTTGACAAAGCAAATCAATAAGAGCTGGGATAGCCCCTGCTGCTCCTATTGCTACTTTATTCTCATCTACAACTGATAAACTAAAAAGGGTTGCAGCTGCATTTTCTCTTCCTTCCATGCTACCGTTTTTCAGAACATCAACTATGTCAGGTATGGCTCCTGCGTTTACAATGGTTCCCTTGTTAGCATCATTTATGGAGAGGTTGAGAAGCGCTGTAACGGCATGCTCCTGTGTTCGGGAATCTGTAGAAGATAATAGCTCTACAAGCAGAGGAATGGCTCCTGCCTCAGCAATACATACTCTGTTATCTGCATTTCGCTTTGCCAGCAACCGGAGCTCACCAGCAGATGCTCTTTGCTGTTCTGAATTACCATTTGCAAGTTTCTGTAGTAAGGCATCAATGGCAGCCCGATCACAATCTGAACCACCACCTCCTGATTTTTTGTTTCTACAGTTCCCTTGTTTCTTTGGCAGCTCAACACCATTGCTCTCGCACCACAAAGCAATGAGACTCTTCAAAACATAATTGGGTGTTAGGGCCGTGTGCAACAGGGTCTGCTGAGTCTTGGGACAGGTCTTATGCCCAGCATCCAGCCATTTTTGAATGCAGGATCTCTCATATGTCTGCAAAAATAAATGAAACCTTAAGTAAATAATGGCTACCAATATAGACACAAATCTGTAAACTGTCAAGGAAACTGCTGGTTTAGACCTGTCCAGTAGAGACAATAACAGGATCATTCATCAATTCAAGGGATATTGGGCACCGGAAATCATCTGGGATAACAGGAGATCTATGTTTAATCAAGCTTTTGTCACCCTCAGAGGCATCAGCTCCTGGGATTTCCCTTGCTATGCAGTCCTTTAACTTTCGAAGCAAAAACGACATCTGCTCAAAGCATTCTTCTGGAACTCCACCATTTAAGATAACCATTTCATGGAAAGCATGTGATTCTTTCTTCAGATCATTGATGGTCCTGAGTTGCAGCTTTTCTGAAAGCCTTCTTAGAATTGCAGGGTCAGGGTCCTTTTCCTTCTGTGATATGGCTAAATCCATCTCTAGTTGTAGATCGGGTGAGTCCATTCTTCCTTTTGCTCTTCTAAACTGTGCATGCACAAGTTCAATCTGAAAGAATATAAGATAGGTCAGTCCTGTATTCAGTAAAAAATCAAAAGGGAGATAAGAGATAAGATTGCTGCAGAATAATTATGTCAAAATTCTTCAAAAATCAATTGATTCTAGAGTACCTGTTCTCGAACTTCGTCTGATATATCTAGTTTATCATAAGGAATCTGGCTCAATGCTTCTTCAATTTGTTCAGTCGCTTGTTGGAACTCACCCGCAATTTTGTCCCTGTGCAGAGCCTGTGACATAGAAAATACAGCTTAACTCAAAAGCATTACTTAGAAGACTTGTTTGCATAAAAATGACATTGCTTAATAAAATTCCTTCACAACCATACAAGTAATCTAGAGCAATAAACACTCAAACTGCTTTCTAATTTCAACGAAATCTATATCTAGTACAAATTTTATTACCTTAGGATAAACACAAAGAGTATTGGATAAATTTAACTTTAAGAAAATCCTTTTTCAGTTGCATATAAGTATGATTACAAACACAATAAACATATATACTAGCCTCACAATTTATATTTCACCCTATGGTCTTTGCGCTTCGAAAACCTGCATGCTTTGATCCTAGAACATGAGAAATGACCCATCAATATTCGCCTAATACAGAAGTCTAGACACATATGCAAACTGAGAATCCTAATCCCTTAGCTCAGCAACGTCTTCATTTCCAACTACTTGGGGATAGCTATTCTTGTTGTAGTGTGACAGAAGGATTTATGAGCAGCCATAACATCCCCTAATCCCAAATAGCCAAAATCCCACATCTCCTATAAAATATATACAAGAGAGACAAGATACACCAAAAGTACAGCATTAAGCTGTGCTCACAAACCTAGATTGCATGTGACTTAAAATGTGGCAAGTTTCTTCGATGTTCTTAATTCCATAAACTTGAAAAATCCTGTATTTAGCCGGAATTATAATCTAAATACGTAGCAATTTAGCCTCAAAAAGTTAATTGGGAACATCATTACAGGTACTAATACACTAACACACAATCTACACACATTCAATTCTATCTTTGTAATCTACTATATTATATTTCAAAGATCACTTAAAATTAGAGCTCCATGCCTCAAATGCATAATTTAGAAATTGAAATCTTTAGAAAATTCAAGCTAAAAAAAATCCAAATCCTCAAGCATATCTTATCATGAGTTTTGACAAAGTTCAGAGTTTGAATTTGAAACAAACTATTTGGCTTTGTTTGGTAACTAGAATAAGTGGGAAAGAAGTTATTAAAATTAGAACGAACTCACTTTCTGTTTGCAAGCAAAAGACTCGTCTTGCTTAATTCATATAATTAAAAAAAAATTATGTGTTTACTTTTTCATGAACCAAAACAACAGGAAGCATCGGTATTCAATTTTTTTTCTTCTGTTTCTCAGCAACCGAACAGTTTGTTTTCCAACACAAATCAAAATAAAACCCAAAGAACCCCAAATACATAATAAATAAGAAAAAAATACACAATTCAACCCATATATATATATATACACACACCTGATATAGTTTACTGCCTTCATTGACCGATCGGAGAAGCTCGTTAGCTGAATTCAAAGCAACCCTCAACGACTCGAGTCCTCGAACCTCGTCGTCGCCGAGCTCTTCATCGCCGTCCTTCAATTCCTCAAACAGAGGGCTCAATAGCTTCACTCTCCGAACCAAATTACCATACATCTTCTTCGAGCTGTTTTGGCACTCGGGTAGCCCAGAAATGTCCCTTATGGTCTCGCCGAGTTGACTCACCAACGCGTCCTTTGGATCGTCCATTGTAACAGTATGGATCACCAATTTGAGCTCTATGAAACACCCGCAAGAATTGAAGATTTTGAAGCAATTTAGAGAGACCCAGATGAGAGAACTGCTTGAATTTTTTATGGGTATTTTTGTTGGAGATGAATCAATTCCCCATTTCGGGTATAAAAACCTCTTTGAGAGGCTGAAAAACACTGAAATATAGGGTTTTGGGGAGAAATTTCAGAAACCCAGATGAGAATTTTTGATTGAATTTTATGGTTGAGGTGAGAGAAAGTGGAGATCAAGAAACGGTATGAATGAACAGAGAAGGAAGGAAATGATTGGTCTTTGACAATGAGGGATTAATTTAAGTGCTAATAAAATGGATTAGAGTAACAAGTCTTTGTACAATACTGTTTAATTTAGCAGGTAGAGAGGGGAGAGAAACAGAGAAGGCAGATGAAGCTGAGATCATCTCTGACCAAATTAATATTTTTTGACGATATTGCCCTTTTTCTTTGTACATTTATATTTTATATATATAGTTTTTACTGCATAGTAATGACATGGAAATGGAACCAAAAATACATAAACAAAAATGTTGGTCAGAGATTAAACATAGAAATATTGTAACTACAAAGATTAAAAAAAAAAAAAAAAAAAAGGTTGCTCTTATCATTGTCTAGCAATATTTATTTATTTTTTAATATTGATGTAATAACTTAAATTGTGGGACATTGGCCTAGTTGGTAGAATATCTAACTCTTTGAATCCATATACCTGAGTCCCTCATTCCCTTAATTTACCAAGATAAAAATAAATAAATAATAATAATAATAACTCAAATGGCACAAAATAATAAAGTACATAGATTGCAGAGATTTTTTAAACACTAATAAGTTTTCCCTTAGTTTGCTAGAATACAAATTAATTAATTAATTAATTAATTAATTAATAATAATAACTCAAATTGTGGAAGTAAATAAATGGGGACTCGTATGTTTCCCTCTCAACGTTCTAGTATTCTACCAACTAGATCACCTAGTAATGCTATACTCCAATTCTTATTTCAAGATAACAATTTCGTACTTTTGAAAATGGCACAAAAAATTCTTAAAATTGGGTAATGTTAGAGGAAACTTTAATATTTAATAAATCTCTGCAATATGTGCAATTTATTTTTATTTTTTTTTCTATTCTTTAATTTGTTGATTTTTGATAGAATGGTGTGAATGTTACATCTCATTCAGTTTTCTTGTATTTTTTAATGATAAAAAATAATACTCGTAATATTTAACTTTTAAGTTTTAAACTACTTTAACTGTTTAATTTTACAAACGTTTTCGTAACCGAGTGATTGAGTTGCTCCTCATTATCTTAAAGGTTTCAAACCTTCGCACCCAGTAATTTTTAATCTTAAATTCTTACCCCGACCAAAAAAAAAAAAAAAAAACCTTAATTTTGAGCATGTAAAACTACTCCTAATACAGTATGGTAGGAAACATTGATTAAATAGACTTTCCAAGAAGAGGAGTGGCAATTAAATCCCAATAAAATGGTGAGGGGTATTTTCGACTGATCAAATAGTACGTTGTGTGGACCGTGTTGATATCCAGTGTCAATGCCCCTATTTGTTTCCCATTGCATTCCAGCAGCAGATTTGTCAATGGTGGTTACCACTTATCAAGGGCTTGGCTTTATCAGCTGGGCTCAAGCTGAAGCCATATGTTTCATAGGTCATATGGTCAAGAAAATTTTACAGGGTCGGGTTGCCTTGACCAATCACATTTTGACACGAAAGCAAAATATTAAATAAAATTAACATATTTATTTATATGTCAAAAATTATTATTTGGTCCCTGAACACAAACAAATACTACCTAACCAAACAAAATTGATACATTTATTTGTATGTCTGATTCTGGTTGACTAAAAGTTTAAAATTATGTAACCCCAAGCCTTATAAAAATTTATAAGCTTCTCATATTTTCATCGGCGAGAACCATCATGTAATAATTTCTCTCTTAGTAGTAAATTGTTTAACGTCCATTTAAACATATTATTATATGAAAATGCAATATTCATACAACATTGATGTACGCATTTATGAAACAAATTTACTTTGAGAGTGCAACACTAATACAAATATGTTACACAAAGTTACTACATTTGTTTTTTTAATGACAAAATACACATTTATACACTAACTTTTTATTCCTATAAGGATTTGAACTCTCGACCTTTTATTTTTTATAAAAAAATAATATTAAATCACATTTAAAATAACATTAAACAATGAATTGCATCTTTGATTTTATAGTATTGAACCCTCAATTTAATAATGTGTGGAAAATTTTGTATCATAAAAGATGATTTCGTTGTGTTTAGTCAACCAAGAAAATGATACAGTGATAACGAAATAAATTTACATGGTCCAGAGCTTTCGAATGAATTCATGGTCACGGTTGATTTGGATTTTTTTTTTTTTTGCTCTTTTTGAATCATACTAAATTACCATATATAGGCATCAGAGGTCCTTGTACATAATTTGTAAAGTTTTTCAAAGTTTGCACAAACACCATACTTGTGTATTTTTTAATAACTCAATTCTATACTAAATTTTGAACAAATTAAATACTTATTTAGTTAAATGTGTTTGAAAATACAATATATATATCACTTGTAACTTAAAATTGATTAAAATTATAACGAATAAGACTACGTCACACAATCTTTCGCAACAAGTGTCACTTTCACGCTCTGCACGCGTTCTACCTCAAATTTTCACTATTTATAACTTAATTCTGCCGCTCTCACGCTCCCGCCCTCGTTTTATGTGACTTAAGAATAAGAGTTCATTAATCACTTATCACTAAATATTATAGTGAATACTTAATTTTTTTCATTTGCAAATTGAATGCACTAGAAATATCAAGTTTCAAACATGCATAAAATAAGTTAAGTCAAAATTATTAAATTCTTGAAAAAAAAAGAAAAAAAATCTAGCATTACTCAATACATCTATTACAAAAAGATTAAAAAAATAAATGTCCGACGATTGATACTTTAAATGTTTAAAGAGTCTCAACCAACCACATCATTCCATGTAAAAAGACTACTGTCCCATTAAAATAAAACTAGTAACAATTTGAATTTCTTATCAATAATTCAAACTTGTAAAAAAGTCTCTCCATCATGATTCATGCCGGTTATGATGATAATATAAACATCCAAATCTGATTATAATACAGTAGTAACAATAAGAGTTGCAAAGACTTATGGCGGTCCGAGTTGTAGAGCAGTACTGCCCCGATCAGCCGGCAAGCCACAAAATCCAGCTCAGCTCAAGCCACTTAAGTAGAATTATTATGACTTGGCAAAGAGAGTTTGGTCAATGAGCGCGTGAAACAAGCCGCGTGGCCCGTACGACCGCGTGCGTGCCGGCGCATTTTAGAACAAAGTCGCTCTCTGCTGACGTGGCTGGACGGGGGCCAGTAGAAGTCCGTAACGTGGACGACAAATTGAGCAGCTTAAGATGCGTCCCACACGTTTGAATGTCGACAACGAATAATAAGAAAGAAAAAAATGGTGCCGGAAAAGCGTCGCGTCAGAGAATATACGTGGGCGCACAGACTTTTGATCTGGGCCGTTGATTGACTTCTATATTCTCTAATCATGACGTGATACTCATTTTAAGCGTGTGTTGTGAGGTGAGAGTAACTCGTAATAAATAATTTAGCTGAGCAGAAATCCTTTTTTTCCGTTAGTTTGAGGTTTGGTCACTATTCTCTTTAAAAATCTTTAAAGACGAAAATTTTATTTTTTAAAAATTTTCAAAGAATTTCACCGGTTTGGTAACTATTTAGGTTTATAATTTATTATTTATATAAATAGATTTTGAATATATATATATATTTATTAATATTATTTTTGTTTATCAAATTATATAAATTTAATTATATAATTATTGTTCACACCAATTTTATAAATGTCAAAGTAATGTTTTTTTTTTTTTTTTTTTTTTTTTTTTTTGCATGAAGAAAACCGATAACTAAGAAGAAAAACAAATATCATCTTCTACATTCCACAAAAGATCAATGGTTTTTTTATGAGCACCCCCCATTTGTTAAGATTGTGAGCAACCTAATTAGAGGATTTAGGAGTCCAAAGAACTCTGATCAACAGCAACAATACTCCATATATAAGCTTCAAATACAAATACATAATGAGTTATCTGTATAGATACAAACATTAAACTTATCTTTGTATATCAAGCCAAAGGATAAGAATAAATCCAAAATTTCATTATGACATTCTTTAATATTACTTAAGCAATGAGAATCTTTCGTCGGGTAAGCAATTTATTAACAAATATATCTGTTTATCGGTAAACAAAAGTTACACATAAATACTCATTATGTTAAAGCTTAAATAATAAACAACAAACAAAAACGGTTACCAAACGAGGCCTTAATTATCCAAAAGATAAATATATAATAGGTCAATATTTATAGAAAAATAAATTTTAAAAAAAAGTTGATCACAATTATACAAGTTTATAAAATTGAATTAGAATTAAACTCATATTGTTTAGGTTGAGTCCATCTAACTTGAGCTATACCAAAATTAAACAAAGGTTGAGAGTTTTTTTTTTTTTTTTAAATTCATGTACTACTTTATTTATTTTTTAAAATTGATTGTTCAAATTATAAAAAAATTAACTAATTGATTATTCTATCATTGTTTATCTATATATATATAACTATATAAATTTACATAAAATTTCTATACATATTTATTTTTATTTAAATTAAATATAATAATTATTCATTAAAGAGTTATATCATGATAAGGTATTTAAGATATTCAAACTAAATTATTTTTAACTTTAACATAAGGAGTATAAAATTGAGTTAAGTGCAAAAAACATCCCTACAATATGCTTATAATGTGGATCACATCCCTCATGTACATAGAAAACACTCATAAAGTTTCAATTTATGCAAATAGGTCACTCCTGACACATTTAAGGTAGAGTTTTCCTAAAATGCCATTAGATACACATTTTACATATTATTTAAAAATATATATTTTGTAAAATGACAAAAATAGATACAAAACGAAATGACGTCGTTTGGCATATGAGGGGTGTGATATAGCACTCTAAGCATACTACAGTGGTATTTTCTACACTTTATTCTAAAAACTATTGTTGTTTTGAATTCGAACACCCATTTTTTGCTATATAAAGAATTATATATATATATATATATTTGTGAAAAATTATTGCCATATATTTATATATATAATGAATAAGTATCTTTAATTTATTTTTTTAATTATATACTTAATAAAAAATGATAACTATATTAAATTTTAGGGTAAAGTACAATGACACCCCCGAGCTTGGGGTAAGGACAAACATATACTAGTTGC